TGGGCAGGAGGATACCACAAACTGAACAAGTTACTCAGGAAACTCACAACTCTGGACTAAAGCATTAGCTCCAAGTCTAAGCAACAGGCTCCTTCCGATGAGGAAGAAGACTCAATACAAGAAGAGCAAAGGCTGGGCATGGAGCCACAGACCTGTGATGCCAGCATTTAGGAGGTGGTGGGAGGAGGGTCAGGAGTTCAAGGCTAGCCCTAGCTCCAGCAAATTTGAGGCCAGCCTATGTTACATAAGACCCTATCTCAAAAACTGAACAAAAAAAAAAAAAACGAGCTAAGGACATGAAAAGACAATTTGAGGAAAAGAAAAACAGGCTGATTGGTAGTGGCATATATATATAATCCCAGAACTGAAGACAGAGGCAGGTAGATCTCTGAGTGTGAGGCCAGCCCAGTCTACAGAGTAAGTTCCAGGACAGCTTGGGCTACACAGAGAAACCCTGTCTTGAGAAAATAATTAAAAATAAAGAACAAAATAAAAAAGAAACACTATGGCTCAGAATTATATAAATTCTGGAGAGATGCCTCAGAAAATAAGAACACTTACTGCTCCTACAAAAGATCAGAGTGTGGTTCCCACCAGATGGCAGCTCACAAGCACCTGTACCCCAGTTCCAGGGCACCCAATACTTCTGACCTCTGTGCATGTATGGACTTTCAGGAACAGACACATGACCATAAATTAAAATTTTTAAAAATGCCCATATTCACCTTATAATCAGGGAAGTTAAAATCTATACCCATTGCTACTCTATTCACAATGACTAGGACATAGAAATGGCTTAGACATCTATCAGCTGATGAGAAGAAAATGTATAATAAACAATGAGATATTAGTGAGCTGTAAAGAAAAACGAACTTTGTAGGTAAATGGATGGAGCTAGAAATAGTCATTCTGAGTGAGGGTAACTCAGACCCAGAAAGACAAATGTCACATTTTCTTTCTCCTCTGAGGATGCTGGCTTTGACTCTTTAGATGTGTGTGTTTAAGCGGGAGTATCCATAGGAGGCGGAGAATTAGTAAGGGGGCATGGAGGAAGGGTTTCAAGGGAGGGTTAGAACAAGGTGGTGTAAAGAAGAAGTAGGAGTAATGGAAAAGGAAGGGTTAAATGGGGCGGAAGATGGGAAGGCAGAGTAGAGGAGGGATAACTGACACTAAAGACCTTTGAAAAAGTCACATGCAACCAAATGCTATGGAAGCTTCCTGAAATATACGCATATGTTAAAGGAGTTTAAATGGAGCAAGCCTGTAATAGGAGAAGGGAAAAGGCAATGCCTTCCCCAGACACCAGAGGCTATAAAATAAAGAAGTCTGGAGCTGGTATGGGCTACCTCTCCTCAAGCTGTCAGTGTAGCTTCACAGACCCCGCCCAAACATGGCAGGTTGCTGTCATTGCTCTTGGTTTCCCTCCAGACCTCCATGACAATACTATTGATGCAGACCCTTCACACTTGGGTCCTGAGACATGGAGAAATCAGGCTGGTCCTGACCTGGAAACTTCATCGCCATTGACTAGCTTTAATAGTAATGAGAGGTTCAACGCATACAACCAGGGGAGAAAAGTCATCCACCGTCCTCCCCTGCAACCGAACCCTGCAAGACTGACCTGGCGCTATCTGCTCCTTGGCGCATTCATGGCGGGAATGTTACAGGAGTAAGTGACAGCTTTCTGTTGGGTTTAATGTCCACTTCACAAAGTAGAATTCATACCAGGTACAATTAACTGCACCAAGACCCCATGGCTGTCTAGGACATAGACTCTGGAGGCGAACCCAAGGTTAGTACTCTGCTAAATAAACATAGTATTAAACTACACCCTGAGTGCACGGATTAGTGTATGTTCCGACCTTTGTCAGAGAAGCTCCTTTCTTGCAGTTTTTGATTACTAGGCTCAACTGGTCAGCATACAGATAGTAAGACAGTGGCGTGTTCAGCTCTAAAGGAAGAGCTTATCACACCTCTGCCTCCGAGGCTTGGAATCTTTGCAGAGGGGGGCAGCAGGAGGGCTGGAGGAACCAGTCACGAACATATTCAGGGAGACAGGGTTTGCCATCAAGCCCAAAGACATGAGCTCCTTCCCTGGAACCCACGGAGTGGAAGGAGAGAGCTGACTCCTGCAAGTGGTCCCCTGACCTCCCACGTGCATGCCGTGGCACGTATGCATGCGCACACATGCATGCAGGTAATAAAAAAATTTAAAATATACGCTGAAATATCTCAAAGCACTTAAGATAAATGAGACCGGGTTTAATGTGGACATGGGAAGTCTCTATATCACGTGTAGTGGAGACACAGAATGAAGATAACAGAACAACGATTCTGTTTGTTAGACTTATGTGTATTCTATTTATGTATATGAACATGAATGCCAGAATCGTGGTCTGGCATAAACACATCATGCCAGTTGCTTTGGTGGGAGCCGAGGATTAGGATTGGCAGAATGGGCATGGGTGAAGTCACTTAGCTGAATTTACACCGCTTTTTCATTCTACGAGGAGCCTGTGATCATTAATGACCTGGCAATGTAAACACTGACCCCCTACAGAAACTGCCTAACTGGTTTTGCGGCGGTCTATGTTTATTTCACAATCATTTAGCATCACGTTGATTGCCTTTAGACCAGTTGGCAAGTGTTTTCTGTGAAGGCCACTTGCTTCTGCTGTTCTAGGGCAAAAGCGGCCACATGACATTGTGTCCTAATAAAACTTTATTGATAAAAACCAGCTGACGGGCCGGGCGGTGGTGGCGCACGCCTTTAATCCCAGCACTCGGGAGGCAGAGGCAGGCGGATCTCTGTGAGTTCGAGACCAGCCTGGTCTACAAGAGCTAGTTTCAGGACAGGCTCCAAAGCCACAGAGAAACCCTATCTCGAAAAACCAAAAAAAAAAAAAAAAAACCAGTTGACGGGCCAGATTTGGCCTATGAGTTATAATATGGTGATGCCAGTTTAGATTAAGTTCACCAGGTAACTGAAGCATTTTTAAGCAAGTACTTAGTATAATAAATAGTCTTCCTGTTGCCAACTGGGTAAGCCACAGACTTAGAGGCCTTGCTCAGAATAATTTAGACTCTGGCCACATCATATTAGAGACCAAACATTTATCTCAGTGTAGATAGTCCAGCCACCTTTCATCTGGGTGGTGGCCATTCACCTTTCCAGCAGCAATGAAAAACAGCTGAGCCTGGGGAAAGGCCAGCACCACACTTGGAACTCAGAGGGAAGGTGTCTCCTAAGAAGCCCTAGGTGTGTGGGAGCCTCACAGCAGTATCTCTAGCTGCCCTGTGGGGCAGAGAGGGGGCCTCAGGATGCTGAGCATACATGGGGACGATTCTGACATGGGGGCAAGTGCTGGCTCCTTACAGAGGTAGGCACAGTGGGTGTTGAGGATGTGAGGCCTTGTGACTGTCCTGCTGCCGTCCTCCACCGTGGGCGCCACCAACGCTAACCTGCCAAGCTCTAGGAGTCAGGGTTAATCGTTCCTGGTTCTCCACAGTCTTCAGCAGTGCTATTTTCTACAGGGACTCCAATCCTGTTACAGAGGGGCTTGGCTGCCGTCTAACACCCGAGAGCACCTGCAGAAGTAAGGCTTCTCTTTTTTGATAATTCCTCTGCAACACAAACGTAGGCCAGGTAGAAGGGCCTCCTGGCTCCACGTCCAGCAACTGTCTTCGCGCTGTATTTAACCCAGCAAGGAGGAGAGGAAAATACAAGGTTGAACCCTGCTCCATATCTCATCGCTGACCTCAGCCCTGCTCCCATAAACCTTCCGGACAGAGACAGGAGGCACTTGACTCCCAGAAAGAGAAAGAAAGCAAAATTGTACCTGCTTGGGGGCCACTGTTTTCGTTGGATTTCTCCTTTGGGGTCCACTTTGAAGAATCAGGAATGAGGGCTCTGCTCGGAGCTTGGCACACCTGCAGTGGCTGCCTGGTCGCACACAGAGGTCTCGCCTTAAGCCTGTAGTGTTTCCTATGGTCCAAGGTCGAGCTCCCACGGAGAGGGTGAGCCTCTTGCTAGAAAAATGACCAGTGTCTCCACTCCTCCTTCTTGGCTAATCTTAGGCTATGGCGTCCCCGGCCATAGGAGCTACGGTTTTTCTTGCCCACATTTCACCCCAAGAGGCCCCAGATGGCACTCCTAAGTCCCAAGTCCAGCACCTGAACTAGTCATGACCAGATTACCGTATTTACTCTTGTTATACACCCTCCTTTTTTTTCATAGTTTCCATCACTATAAAACATATAAAGGAAAGGGTGTTTTAAGTGTCTGTCCTAATTCTGGGCCTGGGCCCGCCTCTCTGAGGGTGTTTGTCGCTGGAGATGAGGTGTCTTGGAGTCTACAGTTCCTAACGTGCTATCTTTCTGGGACAGCAGTTGTGATACTGGCACATTAATGTGAGAAGCGGCGAGGAGCAGGAAAACAAAGGCAAGGGCTACAAGACAGGTAGGAGTTCGCAGTTCCAACCTCAGGGCAGAACGCTATCTAGGAGCAGGGAACTGGACCGTTGAGAAAGTTCTGAGAGCTTCTTCTTTCCTCAGACTCTCCTAGAAGACTGGCTAGGAACTGGCCCAGCAGGAAAGGTTTTTTTGGTTTTTTGGTTTGAGGCTTTTTTTTTTTTCCAAGACAGGGTTTCTCTGTGTAACAACCCTAGGTGTCCTGGAACTAGCTCTTGTAGCCAGGCTGGCCTTGAACTCATAGAGATCCGCCTGCCTCTGCCTCCCGAGTGCTGAGATTAAAGGCATGTGCCACCACCGCTGGGTCAACAGGAAGGCTTTGAGTGATGTTTTCTCCCCCCCCCCCGCCCCCCCGCCAAACCTTCCAGGATTGGGAAACTGTTGCTTATAAACTCCACCACCCTCAAGGTTGCCTTAGCCTTCAACAGGGCCCTATATTGAAATAGAGATTGAAGTTCCCAGAAGAAACAGCCTATGTAGTGAGCTCTGGGGTAGCAGGAGAGGGTCACAGCCTAAGAAGCTGGGAAAGCTGAAAAGGGACACAGACTTCCAAGATTAGAGGTAGGTCTTTCGGTTCTGACTGGCACTTTTGTAGCCGAGGAGAGTGGGCAGGATTCCAGCTGAGGCGGGGCAGCAGGCCAGAAGTCCTTGAGCCACAGGTAAATTATTACAGCTTTTATCATCTGTCCAAGCTCTTCTGGCACACAAAGGTCTAGGTTTACATCTCATATAAAAATGGGAAGTTATGAGCCGGGCAGTGGAGGCGCATGCCTTTAATCGAGGCAGAAGCAGGCAGATCTTATATGTTATAAATAAAAAAACCAGAGTCAGACACACCAAGGGTGTAAATACAGGTGAAGTCGAAGGAAGACAGGAGTTTATCAACCTGCCCAATGGCCTTTCTCAAAATCTCTTAACATCCTTCTTGGGTGTGTGTGGCTCAAGCTGACCTTCAGAGCACAGAGGTCCCCATGGGGTAGACTCAGAGGGACCCTCTCCTTTTTTTTCTTTGGAGGACACATACCCCTAGTTTGCTTTCTGTTGCTGTGATAAACACGGTGCCCAAAAGAAACTCAGGGGAGGACAGGAAAGGGTTTATCTAACTTTCTCATCCAGGACACCATCCGTCACTGAGGGAACCCCAGCCAGAACACCAGCAAAGTAGGCACTTGAAGCAGAACCCATGCCTTGGTAACGGTATACAGCCTGGTTTCTGTTCATACCACATACGTTTTTTTGCCTACCTACCTCCCTTTTTAAAGTTACCTTAAAGTGGGTGGGGTAGAACACAGGTGATCTAATAGTAGGTTAGACTGATCACTTTGAAATATTTTCAATCACACTCTTGACTCCTACCGAAATCCGGGGCAGAGCTGCTGATGGAGAATCGTTTCCTATTGTTGTTGTTGATTGCTGTGCAGCAGAGGACAAAGCCGGCTCCCAGGTGACCCTTTCCTAAGGACTTGCAGTGTACTTGGGCCGTGGTCGCTACTCTATGAGGAACCTTCTCTCTGCATCCTGCCTTCTCTTCCTTGAAGAACATAATCTTTGCAAAGTATGTCTGGACAAAGGTGGCATGCAGACAAGGGGTGATGAGCATTGTTTCCGATTCTCCTCTGCTTCTCTTTGGCTTACTTCCAATATCTTTTATGGTTTTGTCTTACCTTTCTTTCTGACAAATATTGTATGTACCAACCACGGATCATGCAGGACTCTCCGGTTCTGCTCTCCTGGTAGATCATGTGCTATGTGTCAGCTGGGTTACCAAGCAACTCATTACTTACGGTAAAAATGGCCCTGACTGCTAAAACACATCTCTACCAGGATGACTTGCAGACACACTGTTCCCACCAGGTACCCACAGTTGTGAGTCTCCTTCAGCATGCTAACTTTTCTAGGTGGGACGATCCATTTGGGGACCCCTGGAAGCTAAGTCAACAAAATTATTACAAGAGATTCTAGCCTCTGGGATGTGGCGTTTGTATTCTAGGCAGGTCCTATGCCTACCAGGTGTGTTCCTGTCTTCTATGCCAACTGAGCAGCCCCATGCCAAATATGAACCTCCTCAGTTTTGTGCATATGAACATTTAGTTGAGGCTAACACCAGCCCCCCGGGGTGCACTGCAGATGTTTGGGTTGAACTCGGCAGGTTCTGCATCACGCTCCGTCTCTGCTTACAGGGAGCACAAGACACCATGGTGCACCTGGTCCGCCTCTGTGAAAGCAAGTTTTGCAAACAGTGTTCACACGTTCCATGATGCTTTATTTGTGGAAGAGTACACTCATAGGATAAAAGGCCCTTCCCCGATAACCTACAGCCTAACTTTTTAGATCGCAAGAATCCAACTGCTATAGAACCAATGCTAACTTTCTAATAAACACAACAATATGTAGCCTAGCCCAGATGAGAGGAGTCAGTTTCGGTGGAAGTGCTCCATTCTTTTTGTAAACAAGGGCCAGTCCATTCACGGCACACTTGGTTAAGCAGTGACCCAAACTGAACAGAGCTGCTTCTCCTCCTCCGGGGCTCTCTTCCGGATGGAAACGTCAGGCTCGCCTAGTTGCTTCCCTCACTTGGAGTATGTTCTTCAGTTGTTGGGTTAGATGCTGAGCTCTCATCGGCCTCCTGAGTCTCTTGCGTCTCTTGTGCAAGGGCTGCTCTCCGCAGTTCCTCAGTGGTGTTCTTCTGAATCACAGCTTCCGTGTAGCTTTGAATGATCTGATGGGCCGCGAGAATGTGCTTCCGCTGTGCAAGCCTCACTGAACCAAAGCAACAGGGGAAGCTTTTACTTTTCTGCTAGAAATCGTCCCTCGGCATTTTTAAGATAGGGGTAAATATATATATATATATATATATATATATATATATATATATATATATTTTCAAAATGCATATTTTCTGTTTTGGGTTTACTGTGCTCAATAAAAATGACTCATTGCAACAAAAAACCCGGGATAGCCAAAACAATCTTATACAATAAAGGAACTTCTGGAGGCATTACCATCCCTGACTTCAAAATCTATTACAGAGCTACAGTATTGAAAACAGCTTGGTATTGGCATAAAAACAGAGAAGTCGACCAATGGAATCGAATAGAAGACCCTGACATTAACCCATAAACATATGAACACCTGATTTTCGATAAAGGAGCTAAAAGTATACAATGGAAAAAAGAGAGTATCTTCAACAAATTGTGCTGGCAAAACTGGATGTCAATCTGTGGAAGAATGAAAATAGATCCATATCTATCACCATGCACAAAACTCAAGTCCAAATGGATTAAAGACCTCAATATCAGTCCGAACACACTGAACCTGATAGAAGAGAAAGTGGGAAGTACTCTACAGCACATGGGTACAGGAGACCACTTCCTACGTATAACCCCAGCAGCACAGACACTAAGGGCATCATTGAATAAATGGGACCTCCTGAGACTGAGAAGCTTCTGTAAAGCAAAAGACACTGTCACTAAGACAAAAAGGCAACCTACTGACTGGGAGAAGATCTTCACCAACCCCGCAACTGACAAAGGCCTGATCTCCAAAATATATAAAGAACTCAAGAAACTAGACCGTAAAAGGCTAATCAACCCAATTATAAAATGGGGCACTGAGCTGAACAGAGAATTCTCAACAGAAGAAGTTCAAATGGCCAAAACACACTTAAGATCATGCTCAACTTCCTTAGCAATCAGGGAAATGCAAATCAAGACAACTTTAAGATACCATCTTACACCTGTCAGAATGGCTAAAATAAAAAACACCAATGATAAGCCTTTGCTGGAGAGGTTGTGGAGAAAGGGGTACACTCATCCATTGCTGGTGGGAATGCAAACTTGTGCAACCACTCTGGAAAGCAGTGTGGCAGTTTCTCAGGAAATTCGGGATTAACCTACCCCTGGACCCAGCAATACCACTCTTGGGAATATACCCAAGAGAGGCCTTATCATACAACAAAAGTATATGCTCAACTATGTTCATAGCAGCATTGTTTGTAATAGCCAGAACCTGGAAACAACCTAGATGCCCTTCAATGGAAGAATGGGTGAAGAAAGTATGGAATATATACATATTAGACTACTACTCAGCAGTAAAGAACAATGACTTCTTGAATTTTGCATACAAATGGGAACACAGCATCTTTCGTGTGGAGATCAGGTAGAACCCACGAAAACATAAAACCCACACATTCTTCTGTTCAACACTGACTTGTGCTGCTGGGAATCTAAGGGTGGTGGTCATGATGTGTGTAAATACACTGATTGCAATAAACTAAGGACGACAGAAAAGACACTGTAAGCCGACTAAAGTGCGGAGTGCTAGAGAGATTCTGTTCTCAAGTTACGCTACCACATGTAGGCAAAAAGCAACATTCTTCAACCTAATTCACCAGAGTCCACTAGCCCTTTTTTTTTTTTTTTTTGAGACAGGGTTTCTCTGTGGTTTTTGGAGCCTGTCCTGGAACTAGCTCTGTAGACCAGGCTGGCCTCGAACTCACATAGCCCTTTGTTCTTAATCAAGCACAAAGTGTTGTGCTTTTCTGTCTCAGTCTCTCAAGGGCTCTCTACCAGCTAAAGGCCTGTGGGCCACTGTTTCACGGTTTTGTCCTAACGACGTCCCCTCTGTGGGATCAGACCTGGCCCCAACAGTTTAAGGGTTCTAAAAGAATCTTTTGCTTCTTCTTTAAATTTTATTGTTATTACAATTTTAATTATGCATATGTGGGCGGGAGGATGTCCATATGAATGCAAGTCCTCACAGAGGTCAGAGGTGTCAGATCCCCCTGCAGCTGGGGTGACAGGAAGTTGTAAGCCACCTGAAGAATGCTGAGAATCAAACCCAGGTCCTCAGGAAGAGCAGTATGTGCCACTAAAGCCATCTCTCCAGCCCCGGGTCCTTTTCTCTTTAAGACATATTCTTTCCTTTCCTACTGACTAAAAGCATCATTATTTTAAAACTTGCCATTTTTTAACAAAGGACAAATTGAAACCGTTATACTTACATGTCACCCCAGCAGAAATTCTATTAGCAGCGGGGTGTCTTTAGATTCTTCTGGCACCCCTGCCTCAGTACCCACTGTTTCTGTACTGGTCTGCAAAAGGCCGCAAGTGTGTGGGTCAAGGCATAAAACTCCCTGGGAACTTCAGAACTTCCTGTTAAAGGAATTGGCGTTCTGCCAATCTGATGGAAGTGGATTCTGCCCCCTGCTGGAGGTGATTAGTTTCTGCAGTCAAGCTTCAGGAAGAAAGTGATAAACTCTGAAGCAAGAACCCACTGCTTTTTCAGAAATCCCCACACCTCTGTGAAGCACGATTAATAAAAACTCAATGTCAGAAAAAGGGGGTTCAGCGTGAAGGTCACAAAAGCCAACCAGCCAGCCACTGGCTCTTGCCTCAACCTCAGTCCGAAATGGTGATCCAGCCTCTAGGATACCTCAGAATGAGACTGAGAGCTGTCTCCTCCCATTTTATATTCCTCTCTAGTTCTGGGATTAAGGGCGTGCACCACTACTGCCTGGTTTCTATGGCAAGCTAGTGTAGCTACTGAGATTAAAGGTGTGTGTCAATGCTGCCTGGTCTGTACGGCTGGCCAGGGGGGCTGTTTTACTTTTCTGATCCTCAGGCAAGCTTTATTTATTAAAATAAAAATGAAATGCCACTCCACCTTTGTCTAGAATTACACCCCTTACCTTTCTCTTTGACGAAGTCTTTCTGTACCTCTGGGATGAGAAAACTATAAACCAACTCGGCAACAATCTCCTCTGACTGAAGAGACGTTCGACTAGAAAACATCATCAAAAACAAATGAGCAGATAAATAAAAAATGAACTCCTGCTTTCTCTGCTTGGGCTGCTGATAGGCACTGAGACCCATGTGACCTACACAAGCCCTTTCTCAATGCCACTGTCACCTTTCCCTTGATTGGATAACCTGAAAGAGCACATTCCTGGCAAGCTTGTTTGACTTCATAAAAACATTAGAATTTGACCTCATCCTGCCTGCTATGAGGCACATGTTAAAAATTCAGCAAATACTTGGAAGTCTAAAACATACTGGGATTCAGTCCAAATAATCAAATATATGTCAAATACATATATCTACTCTGCTTTTATGTTCTGAGTATTGTAATGTATAGAATGGAAACGGACCAGAAGGACAGAGGAAAACAAAGGATTCAGTCCACAGTGCTCCTACCAAGAGGGGTATGGGCATGTTGAGTCCCAGTAAGGTCTGCTAGCAAAGCAACAGACATCAGAGCGTGGCTTATATATTCTGGCGGGGCCTGAGGGTCTGGAGGACTACAGGTGAATAACAGTGATGTCATCATCCATTTCCCAGTCTTTTCTGTGATGCATACCGGCTTTCCATTGCATAGGCGATGTCATTGATTTCCTCGGCGATCCTCTCGATTTCGGCCCTGGCTTGTTCTTCCGCCGTTCTCTCCTCAGTGTTCAGGATGATGTCTTCCAGGTAGGAGGTCACAGTGCTTTGGTGGACTTTAATCACCTGCAGAAATTAAAATATATATACCGCTTAAGAACTTCTATTGTTGCCAGTACAGAAACCACACAGACATTGCTTGATGATCTTACAGTTCATGTATTTCTTTCATTAAGTCACTGCTCTGTTTCTCATCCATCTACCTACGTTTTCTGGGCAGCTCAAGCCACTTGGCCCATCTCATAACTTGGATCCTGGGTCTTACTTGTGATGTGGGAGTGTCATATATCAATTTGTTGATTTCATTGGTTAAGTAATAAACAAACTGCTTGGGCTCATAGCTTAGAACATAGGTGGGTGGAGTAAACAGAACAGAATGCTGGGAGGAAGAGGAAGTGAGGTAAGACGCCTCAGACAGAGACGCCATGCTCCCGGCTCCTGGGCAGATGCGGGGATAGCTCTGCTCTCTGAGGCACATGCGATGAAGCTCCGACCCAGGATGGACGTAGGCTAGAATCTTTCCGGTAAGTGCACCTTGGGATGCTACACACCTGATTGGAAATGGGCTAGTCCAGGTGCGAGAGTTAGCTGAGAAGAGGCTAGATAGAAATGGGCCAAGCAGTTTTTAAAAGAATACAATGTCCATGTAATTATTTCGGGTAAAGCTAGCCTTGTGGGCAGCGGGGTGCTGGGGACGCAGCCCCGCTGCTCATATTACTACATAGTTGGATGATGGTTAAAAGCTCTACAAAATAATGATGATCAACAACCTGGTTTGGATCCCGGTTGTCCTTATCAGTTGTGTGACTTGGCCAGGCCACCTAACTGTAGCAGAGGTTAAGGAATATTTCCTAATACCCTTGCTGTCTTTTATCTTAAATAACAGAATCTTTGGGTTTCAGCTAGGCAAACAGGTACACAAGGACTAGATTTCCTAGTTCCAGTTTCTGTAGGACCACATGACCAAGGCCAGGCCAAGTCAATGCGAGCTGAGATGATATGCCCAAGAAAGACTTAGCTTCCCCCTATTCTTTCTCTCTCTTTTTATGTTTTATTTTATGGACACGAAACCTTTGCGGACAGTAGTGACCTTAAGTTGCCACAAGGGCCATATTTTAGAGGCTGTAGAGCAGAAAGGGAAAGGGTTCCAGGTCATAACGGCCCTTAATCACTTTTTGAAGATTTCTTGAAATTATGAGATAGAATGCAGACGGTTTTTTGGTACGCAGAGCACATAACTGTACATACAGTATAATGAATTAGGATAAAATCAGTACCCATATAGTCCCTGCTAGTGCCTAAGAAGACCACGGGGTCCTTTCTGACCACAGCCTGTGTCCACTTTCATGAGGGTCCTAGCGAGTGCTTATTTAGCTTTAGAATTTTGCTCACTAACTATGTAATCTCAGGCAAAACCACTTAGCTTTGTTTGTTTCACACACATGCATGCGTGTATGTACACATACATACACACACAGAAAGTATCACCAGCATCAACACTACTTTGCGTGTGTGTCTTTGTCTCAACAAACTGTGAGTCTCATGGAGGCAAAAACATTTTTATGTCTGAATATTTCTTTGAACCTGAGATAATACCCAGAACTCTGCTTGGGCTGCTGGTAGGCACCGAGACCTGTGTGGCCTGTCTCTTAGAGGGCCCAAAAGTGTAACCTAAGTATGTGATAGGGTTTCTCTGTAGCTTTGGAGCCTGTCCTGGAACTTGCTCTGTAGACCAGGCTGGCCTCTGCCTCCCGAGTGCTGGGATTAAAGGTGTGCACCACCACTGCCCAGCAAGATACTTACTCCTAATGTACCTTGACCCCAAATATCAACCTTAAGCCCCACGCCTTCCTGATGTTAGTGTCTTAATGGCAGGGTAGTACAGTATCACCCAAGACTTATTTGTGAAATGTCTAGTGTGTCCAGGGCCCACGTTGGTGGTGCAGAAAGCACAGTGTGAGTACAGGGCACGCTTGCCCTCGTGAAGCTGAGCATTTATTCAGGAAGCAAGCTATAAAGACACAGGACACTAAATAGCTGGGTTATAACACAGGGATGAGGAAGGGGAGAGAAATACCAGTCACAGATGTGCTCACACAAAGCGGTCCTTAAGTCAAACCAAAAACGTTGTTAACTCTTTTGTGTCCTTCCCAGATGAGACTGAAATCTCTTGCCTTTCCACTAGACTGTCCCAAGCTAAGTTTCTGATGAACTCCTGATTCTGCCCCTGACCCGTCATCCTCTCCACCTACCAACCTCCCAAAGGAGCAGTCAGTCACGTAAGCCATGGACTAGTCGCCAATCTTGATCATATACTTTAAAGAGGACCCTATTCGTTGCGTCGCTTCTTCCTTCATAGAATTTCTAATTCTATAATTATGTGCATGTTCCGTGTTATTTAAACTGCAGGAGGGGAGGGCTGTGCCTGCGTCTTCCCTCCAGAGTACCCACAATGCCTTTGTACCCTTTAGTGTAGAGTGTGGAAACAAGATGAAAACAAACCGAAATCCCATTTAAGTCATGAAGTGTCTGTATGATTTCGCGAGACATGCCAGTATGAGATGTCTTTGATTAAACCTGGCTCCCCATAAGCCCTGGATCTAGGAAGTTGACTACGCCCCGCTGCCCGACTTGCCTCCATAAATATCTGGTCCTCTTGCTGCAGGCGCCTTTGCTCCACCTGCCGTCGACCACTCTCTTCGGCCTCCCGCATGCGCCGTTGGCGCTCAGCCAGCATCGCAAAGGCGTGGATCCTCCTCTCCTCCTGCAGCCTCACCAGCTCTTTGGACAGGAAGTCAAGCATGTCCGCCAGTACTCTTCCTTCCAGGTCGCCCAGATGGTTTTCAATGACTGACAACTTAAGAACGAGAAAGACTTTAAAAGCGAGCTCCACTCAGAGCGGTGGTTCTTAAGGGTTGGGTGACCCAGAATAACCAAGCAAGGCAACTTCTTGTTAGAACAGCCTTCACCAGGAATATCATGCCCCGGTGACCCCCATCCCTGGGCACTTGTTGGAAAATGTAACACAAACTTAGACCTGAGAAAGCAGAGCTGAGAAAAGTCCTCAGGGTTCACAGTTCTCAAGTCGTGAAGACGACTTACTGAAACATTGTCTCAGCAAGACACACAATGTAATTTTTGGTTCAATTTTATGCAGAAAGTCAGACATGAAGGAAGACAAGACGTTAACATTGCATTCAATTTAATAAAGTAGAACTTCCTAGAAATTCACTTTTAATTTTTAAATATCTGCTCTTTGCCTACCAACTTGAAGAGCTTTAAAAACAATGAAAAACAGTGAAAGTGAAAAACCATGGTACTTTCTAAACTTTTAATAACTTCAGAACTAGGGGCTGGAGAGATGGCTCAGTGGTTAAGAGCACTGGCTGCTCTTCCAGAGGTTGTGAGTTCAATTCCCAGCAACCACATGTTGGCTCACAACCATCTGTTATGAGATCTGGTGCCCTCTTCTGGCATGTGGGCATACATGGAGGAAGAATGTTGTATACATAATAAATAAATCTTTAAAAAATAACTTCAAAACTATTAACAATTATCTTTGAACCAGTACAGAATAAAGCTTAGATGTCCGTATATTGTTGGGGTAAAATAATGGGCCCGTGGGGAGCTTGGCCAGGAGGAAGTCACTGGTATGTGGGTATTTGTGTCCGGGCTTTCACACAGAAATGTGTTTAAGATGCCTTACCTGCTTGGCTTCCCTCTCCTAAACGTGAGGGACAGACCTCCATCTCCCCACCACATGCCACTTTAGCACTGAGGGCTCTACTCTGCACCCCTCGGGTCTTGGGGGCAATGAGGTCACTGGCTGAGGCCATCTGTCAAGAGCAGTTGTTAGGCCAGCTCCCCCATCCCCATCCTCACCCACACATACTTTCAAGTCCTGAAGCTCGACGTTTTTTGTTTTGTTTTGTTTTGTTTTAAACAGGGGTGCAGACAGGTAAAGCTAGGGCACGTCACTGCTCATGTATCAACAGTGGATGCTCAGCCCAGAGATGGTGGCTTCTCTGCCTGTCATCATGGACCAAAACGCTTTCACTTCCAGGGTAGGGGTGGGTGCTAACAGTTGCCTTTTCATGTCCAGCCCCATTCCTTTGCAGGGAACGTAGCCAGGGCTGATCGGGTCGGGAAACACAATTTGAAAGCAAACGCGCTTGGGAGGCATTCTGCTGCAGCTGTAGCACTAATTCCTCATGAAGTGAAGCTGTGTTTCCTGGACAGTTTCCCACAGAAGAGGAAAGAGGTAGCGAGACCAGCATTGCTAAACCTGTGGAGCACACCCTCCCTCAGGTCCCTGCACTGGGTACCTTGATAGGACCAGAGATACACAGTCGTTGGAGGAGCGACACTATTTCCCAACAGACATTTGCATCCAGCTCTGTTGACCTGAATATCTACTCAGAGTCGGCTTAGCTCCATGCACCTCAAAGGGCTAAAGAGGGCATTTTCCCCGTCGCACCCCAGGACCTCCTGCTTTCATGGCTTACCATTCTGTCCAAACATCTCCAAGACTCCAGGACCACCCGAGCCAGACACTCCAGGTCCACAGTAGCCTCAACTTTCATTGGTCCTACTTTTAGGTGGCACAGCTTTGGGATGCTCTTACTGCCTCACCTGCGCCTACTCCCTCAAGCCCACTGGACGCCAGTGGCATTTCTGCCATATAAAACAGTAAAGCCACTGTCATTCCCAAGTTGAGCTTCTCATTTGTGCTCAATTTCCATTTTGCATGGGAGTCGAGTGTGCTTATTAAAAGCTGGTCAAACAGTGCTGCTGTAAGTGCTACTACTTTAACACTAACCAGCAAATCGATTCACTTTGAGGCTTGGTTTGCAGACATCTGGGAATAGGAGGAAATAACTGTGGTATAGTCGGTGACACTTGAGAGCGATCACGGAGAGATGAATGCTGGATGGGGGGGGGGGTGCCATTGTTAGTTATGTCAGACGGCAGAGCAGGAGAGCCTGACAAAAGTCGCCAAACGTGGTGAGACAGTGGCGTATTTAATGGGTACCTCAACCAGCAGGAGCAATTCATGTGGTTCCAAAGTTCTACAATTAAGGGTCAATGTTTTAAAAGAAACCTCATACTGTGCTTTTTCATGGTACTTTTGTGTTGCAGCTGCTGCTCCTTTAGACATTCCACTATATCCAGGCTTCAGGGAGTTGGGCAGCATTAGTCAATGCTTCAGATAAATCGAAAGGGGATATCTTAAAGTTGGAAAAAGTGCATTTGTTTGGTTTGGTTTTGAGGTTTCTTTCTTTTTTTTCTTTTTCTTTTTTTTTTTGGTTTTTCGAGACAGGGTTTCTTTGTGGCTTTGGAGCCTGTCCTGGAACTAGCTCTGTAGACCAGGCTGGTCTCGAACTCACAGAGATCCACCTGCCTCTGCCTCCCGAGTGCTGGGATTAAAGGCATGCGCCACCATCGCCCGGCCTGAGGTTTCTTTCTATTTTTTAAGTAAAGACAAGAGCACCTGTTAGATTCAGCGAGGGCACACCCCACTAATGCACGCTGCTGCAGAATGCTGTGTGCCCGGGCTGTAGAACAATTTTCATCTATTGTTATTACAGCGCTGTTCACGGGACAGTAGCGGCCCCTAGAGGGGAAGGCGCAGCAAGCCACAAAGGGCACAAAGGACAGAACCTTGTTCTCATGCAGGTTCCGCTGCCGCTGCAGGGCCAGGGTCACTTGCTTCTCCGCTCTCTTCACTAGCTTGTCGTCCTCTTGCAGGGCGTGGCTGGTGCGCAACTCCATGATCAACTCCAGACGCTTCTCTTTGCCCTCAAACATCTGCACCAAAACAAATCCAGAAAGAGTTACCTGTTACCAGAGCCGCGTGGTGAGCTGGGAGGAGGCATGTGCTAGCCGCAGGTTCTGCAGCTCACTTACTGCGCCCTCTTTAAAAAGACAAAGCAAACAAAAACAAACGACGGCACTATTTGAGGCCAGTTTGCTTTTCTGATGAACTAACCCCTGGGTTCATAGCACACAATCCGCTATCTGAAGGGAACTGCAAGCTTCTCCCCGGATTAAGGAGATGAAGCACAGGGCTGAGCACAGGCGCTCACCAGCTGCCCTGGACTCGCAGTCTCTCAAGAACAGGCGGCCTCAGGAGGGAAAGGCGTGGAAGAGGGATTTGTGTGTTTTAAAGTGAGGTGTGTCTATTGCAGCTGCAGAGATTATCTGCCCAAAGCTTAAAGTCAGGACCAGCACTGGGGCTGCTGCCTGATAAGGGAACATCCCTCAGACTCAAACTACTTCCTTCTGAGATGAGATTTCTGGTAGGAAGAAAGAAAAAAAAAAAAAGAATACACACGGGTATATAGCTCAAAACTATAACGACTTTGTGTTTCTAACACAAATATTGCTCACTCTATGCGAACTCAATTGTTTTAAGGCATAATAGAAAATGAGGGAGTCCCTCTTGGTTTATAATGTTCTAACCATCAACATTCAGATGTGCATATCTGGGGAGTTAGCAATTCCACAAAAGAAAAAGGAGTTCACATAGCCCAAGTTATAACTGTGGCACAGGACGGGCAGGTGATTCCGCTCATCTTGACCTTGTGTGGCCCCGGAATAGGAGGGCAAGGCGCATGCGGGAATTGGCCTTGGGTTCACGATCGTGGGAGAAATGCTGGCCTGTGGTCTGACCTACGCACCATGTTCTGTACGACTCTGCCCCGGAGTAACTTCTGCAGATGGATCACAGCCATTTCTTTTTCTCCTTCCTAAAGAGACAAAGGGAGGACCGGGTGAGGACTGCAGCAGCTAGAGCATCGTACGCTGTTGAGGGGACCTCTTTCAAGCATGAGACTGTGGGAGATGTCAAAAGAATTGAAAGAGAACTGTTGTCATTGAATACATGGTGTCTTAAATATTTTTAATATTTAAATATTAAATACTATATCATTAAAATGTATCACTTTTATTATGAGCAATACATCCTGAAGAGAGCCTAAAAGAAAGAAATGATGGGACCGCCAAGTTAGCCCTGCACCTGGAGCCATTCCCAGAAAACTTGTGCTGAATCCACAAATACAGCTAACAATGTCCTTTAACATTGGGGTTTTCATGTTTGCTTCTGAGTAATGAAGGGCGTGGCTAGAGCAGGGTGCTCTTCACACGAGGTAGCTCTGCTAGCAAATCAGAACAGAGTGGTGAGAGTCGTCAGCAACAGTTCTGGCGCTGGGAGTCGGGGAGGGACTGCTTTCTGCAGGGATGTAACTCCTGAGAAGCTAGCCATGCTCCACTACAGGGCCCTGTGCCCGTGCACACACCAAACTTGGTGGGTTTACAAAAGAGACCTTGCAATTAGGAGAAAATCATGGTGGAGGAGAAGGGAGGAATTAGAGTAGAGTGAACGGAAGCCCTGATCAGAACACAATATATGCATCTATAAAATGGTGTGTCCAGAGCAGCAAAAACAAACCTAGAAATCTGATAAGGCCTCTCCATGAAAAGGCAAGCAACAGGCTATGGAGGAAGGTTATGGGTAACCAGAGGGAGGCACAGGGTATAGGGAGGGAGCCTTTCTTGGCCCAACTGTGTGGAGTGGTCCAGTTAGGGTCCCCACCAAAGAAAGCGATAGTCTGGAGACGCCTTGCCCACTTACCGGGGTCCTCCATACATCTGAATGGTGCTGTTGCGTTGCCCCCCCCTCCCCCAGTGCTGAGATTACAGGGATCTGTCGCTGTGCCAGGCCATCCCCTTCTCTGTCTTTTCCCACCCCCTCCTCCTCTCTCTCCTTCTCTGTCTTTTCCCACCCCCTCCTCCTCTCTCTCCTTCTCTGTCTTTTCCCACCCCCTCCTCCTCTCTCTCCTTCTCTGTCTTTTCCCACCCCCTCCTCCTCTCTCTCCTTCTCTGTCTTTTCCCACCCCCTCCTCCTCTCTCTCCTTCTCTGTCTTTTCCCACCCCCTCCTCCTCTCTCTCCTTCTCTGTCTTTTCCCACCCCCTCCTCCTCTCTCTCCTTCTCTGTCTTTTCCCACCCCCTCCTCCTCTCTCTCCTTCTCTGTCTTTTCCCACCCCCTCCTCCTCTCTCTCCTTCTCCTTTTTTTTTGTAACATACATGGTGATTACCTTCTAATAGCTATTTTTCATTCTTTGTGTTTTTATTCTTTAAAAGACTAAATAGTTTATATTTCACATGGATTATATTTGTTTATGTTAGATGTTTGCTACACACAAGTTAAGAGGGAACTGGGGGTGGGGGTGGGTGAAGAGATAGCTCAGGGGTTAAGGGCACTAGCTGTTCTCACAGAGGCCTGCACTGCCATCTTCAGCATCCCCGTGATAGCTCACAACCATCTGTAACCCAGTTCCCGGGTAATACAAAGCCCTCTTTTGGTCCCCATGGTCAATCCATGCACGCGGTGCAGGCGAAATGCCCCTACACATAAAAAAAAAATCTCAAAAGAATTTTAAAACAGAGGGAACTGATTTTAAATCAGAGCTTGAGCCGGGCAATGGTGGCGCACGCCTTTAATCCCAGCACTTGGGAGGCAGAGGCAGGCGGATCTCTGTGAGTTCGAGACCAGCCTGGTCTACAGAGCGAGTTCCAGGACAGGCTCCAAAGCCACAGAGAAACCCTGTCTCGAAAAACAAAACAAAAAAAAAAAAAAATCAGAGCTTGAGACACTAACACTGCTAACCTAATTTGTTTCCAACCCAAACTACCCTAAGCACGAACTGACTGCAATCCTGATCTTAGTGCTTCAAGTAGAAGTTTCAGACTTACACTGGCCCTCATCTCCAGCGTGGGGGTTGGAAGCCGAGGCGGGGGGATGGGGTTCTTTTGCAGGAATCGCAGAGGCTTCCTTCCATCTTGCACTTTATTCTTCTTATCCAACAGTGCCTGAAATACATACCAGCTAAGGTCATCTCTTAGTTTCCACCCTCCCCCAGTGCCAGGTCTAGGCTGTAAATCTGGGTATCAAGCCCGATCCCTATGCCTATATTCAAGGTTAGCTGAGAAAGAGCCAGCTGGGTGTGTGTATTCTCCACCATGTGCTATGACATTCCTAAGAATACATTAACCACTGAATAAATGTGGCATCTAATTTTTAAAATATACATTAATTAATTTTATGTTATGTATATGTGTGCATGTCTGAGTGTATAATATTCACTCTCTCTCTGTGTGTGTGTGTGTGTGTGTGTGTGTGTGTGTGTGTGTGTGTTGTAGGAGGCTGCTTGTTTCTGGCTGCTCAGCCCCAAAATAACCATACAGAAACTGTATTAATTACAACATTGCTTGGCCTATCACCTTATGTATATTTCTAGATCACTCTTATCTCTTAAATTAACCCATTTCTACTATTTTATATTTTACCGCAAGGATTGTGGCCTACTGGCAAGGTTCTAACTGCCAGTTTGTGTCTTTCCCCTCTGGTTTCTCTTGACTCCAAAGAAACCATCTTCTTCCTCCCAGCATTCAGTTTAGTTTTCCCCATCTAACTCTACTCTACCCTATCACAGGCCAAGCAAGATTCTTTATTCATTAACCAATAAAAGCAACACATATCCAGAAGGACTTCTGTGTGTGTGTGTGTGTGTGTGTGTGTGTGTGTGTGTGTGCGCGCAGAAGCCTTCAGAGGTCAGAAGCAGGAGACAGATCATTTGGAACCGGAGTTACGCACCACATAGATGCTGGGAACGGAACCCTGGTCCTAAACTTTCTCGGAGTTGCTGAACTGTCTCTTCGATTCCTACCTCGTTTTGTGTTCGTTTCCATCAGACATCGTGGGAATTTAAAAAAAAGTTTTTAAATGTTCTGTCCTGTGTGCACATCACTTATTATTATTATTAGTTTTTTTTTTTTTGAGACAGGATTTCTCTGCGTAACAGCCCTGGCTGTCCTGGAACTTGCTTTGTAGACCAGGCTGGCCTCAAACTCACTGAGATCCACCTGCCTCCCCTCCCAAGTGCTGGAATTAAAGGCGTGTGCCACCACCGCTGCCCAAACAGAAGGTTCTCCTGTGTAGTGAGTGGTTAAACGTTTGTTTTGCTGTTGCAGAGGAGCTGGAGGACATTAAACAGCCACGGTTTCTAAGTGGAGAGGGCCCATCCCTTTGGTCTGGAAGGATGTGAATATTAATAAAAACAAGCTCATTTTCTGGGGGGTCGAGGGTGTGTTCTGTATTTTTTGATGTTTCCCCCTGTTTGTGTCACTAGAAACCCTGTCACAATTACACATCAGACAGTTCCATTAGCCTCAGGGAAATACTTTAGATAGAGAAGTGCCAAGTTCTTGTGTTGTGACTTAAAGACTATAACTTAGCTAATTTTTGTCATAAAATCATTTTTACAGCATATTTTCATAAAAACACAGGCAAGGGATGTTTGAAAAAACTACATCACTGAAAGTTGAAACTGGTAAAAATGTATAACATAAAGTAAAATTTAGCATCTCCTAACTGTATAGGTAAAGAACCTCTGGACGTGTCCCAAGCAAAAATGGCAGTGGTTGCCATCATCTCTGGGCAGCTGCTGCTGGTGCGGCAGTACAGACGTATCAGTGGGCGGATATGGGCATGCTGAGAGCTGGGGAGCTCTGAGAGCTGGGGAGCCCTGAGAACAGCCCCGAGAGTAGAGCCCTGGCCACACCACGTGGATCACAAACCCACACCAACCACTAAGTCAGTCCTTCAGGACTAAAGGTTGGCAAGGGTGTGGGGAAACGGGCATTTGTATGTACTGCTGAAACATATATATATGTATATATATACATATATATATATATATGAAAACTTGGTGCTATTCATTAACATGAGAAATTCATACTGTTGTGGAGTAACCTTTGTGTACATTGTGAAGACGTGTGTTTGAATAAGGTGCCTTCTGATTGGTTTAAAAAAAAGCTAAATGACCAATAGGCAGGAGGTATAGGTGTGAGGTGTGAGTTCAATTCCCAGCACCAAAAAGAAAGAAGTTTTAAAAGATGCTCGTAGGGGGTTGGGGGAGTGGCTCAGTCAGAAGAGTCTCACGTCTAAAGATCTATTTAAGAAGGCAAACCTAGCAAAGAGCAGCTGTAATCCTAACCCCGGGGAGACAGGGGCAGGGGGATCCCTAGGTTTTGCTGACTGGCCAGGTACATCAGCAATCTACATGTTCAGTGAAGGACACTGTCTCAAAACTAATAAGGTGGTGCAATGGAGGCAGACGAGAAAATCCACCTCTGGTCCACACAAGTGCGCACGTATGTGCCCACGTGCACACACACAGACATGCACACACATGCACACATATGGCACTTTAAAGTCCAAAGAGACAAGACATGGTGGCTCATTCCTGTAATCTCAGCACTTGGAAGGCTGAAGTAGGAGGGGTCATGAGGCTCTTGTTGACCAGGTTGGCCTCTAACTCACAGAGATCCACCTGCCTCTGTCTTCTCAGTGACACAGTGAGTCTGAGGGCAGCCTGAGCTACACTTGCCCTGTCTGAAAAAAGAAAAGAAGACAAGAAAAAGGGAGAAAGAGCAGAGCATAGCAAAGGGGGGGGGGAGGAGAGAAGGGAGGAGAGAACAAAAGAAATGTTTCAAGCAGTAATGGCTGAAACTTGCCAGGATTACTCTAAAGACCCTGGTAATGATCTTGGAAACTTACGGAACAGCAAACAGGAGAAATGCCTCAGATAAAGACCTCGAAAGACCCCAGAGGGGATGGGAGCCCCACCCTTCCTGGAGGAAAGACAATGAGGATGACCAGCAGATTTCCAGCCAGAATTCCTGATCAATGGAGAAAAAGGCCAAAGGCGGAGTTCTGTACAAGGCCGTGAGGCTCTGGCTGGAAACATGGCTGAGGCGTTAGACCAAAGTTTGGTTTGCGGCACCCACATTAGGTGGCTCACATCCACCTGTCACTCCAGCTGCACGGTGTCTAGCACCCTCTTCTGGCCACCTTGGGCGCGCGCGCGCACACACACACACACACACACACACACACACACACCTCTCCCTCTCAAAACAATAAGATAAATATTTTATTAAGAGTGAAAAGGCCAAAAATAAAAAATAAGAAAGCTTCAGTGCTTTGAAGGACACAGACACTGTCTGGAGTGAAGAGATAACTTAGAGACTAGGAAAACAGTTTTAAAGTGAAAAAGGTCTAGTCTCTGGAATATTTTTTTAAATTCAGTAATAAAAAGGCAACTAGTTTTTAAAATAGACAAAATATTCAAATAGACATCTATTAGAAAAACATACAAATTACTGATAGGTGGTTTAAAAGATCCTTAATGTCATCGATTATCAGGGAATTGCAAACCAAAACCCCCATGGAGCCACCATCTCCCTGATACCGACATGGCTCAGAGCAAACAGATGATAAGAGACAGAAAGGAATCCACGCACACAGCCACTGAGATAAAAATAGTGTAGTCAATTTGTAAACAATCAGGAAGTTCTTCAAAAAGGAAAACAGTTGCCGTATGACCTATGACCTCCTCCTAGAGATACATCCAAAAGAACCAAAAGCAGCATGTCTATCCGAACTAGAACACAGAAGCCCACGGCATCAACAGCAGGAAGAACCGAAAGGCTGGTGAGCTGAGAGTGGAGAGAGAGAATGTGGTGTGTCCATTAATGGGATATTTTGTAGTCATAGAAAAGAAGGAGGACCGGGAACTGTGCTGGAATACGAGTGGGCAAATGGGGCGCCATTTACTGTAGGGCTCTGCTTATACAGCATGCTCAGAGCAAGCACATCCACAAAGAGGAGGAAGAACAGAGGCTGGAGGAAAGCGAGGAGGACGGAAGTGACTGCTCAGAGGTATGGGGTTTGTCGTGGGGACGATGGATTAGAGGGATGACATACACAACCTTGTGGACGTGCTGACAGCCATTGAACTGCATACTTTAAAGGGTGACCCTTATTGTACCTGAATTTTTACTTCCCTCCCCCAGCTGAATGCAAAGGAGAAAGATTCAGGACACAAAACCTGGAGCTCACTGCCGGCAGACCATGCCGAAGATGATCCAATTCTTAAGACAGAAGAAAAATCACAGGGGTCAGAGACATGCAGGTCTGTAAAGACAGGGAGAGCGGCAGGGAAGGAATAAACAAGGGGAAGATAAAATCTTTTGTTTTTTCTTAAGTTTTAAAATATCCAGTGTAGCCGTGTGTGTGTGTGTGTCCGTGTGCACTTGCACACATGCATGTCTGTGCCATGACCACATGTGGGGGTCAGAGGACTGCTTTCTGTATTCAGCTCTCTCCTGCAGCCTGTCTGAGGAAGAACTCAGGTGATTCCTCAGCAAGCACCTTTATCGGTTGAGCCATCTCCTGGGCCCATTTGTTTGGTTTTTGTTGTTGTTTGATTGTTTATTTTTATTGATCAAAAAGAAAATCGTTTTTTAAAGCACTAAAAGTAATAATGTGGCAAGTGTGGTGACGTCCACCTATAATTCCTGGTCACGGGAAGTGGAGGCAAGAGGTTAGGAGTTCAAGGTCTTCCTCAGCTACACAGCTACCCAAGGCCGACCTGGGCTGTGCGAGACCCATCTCAAAGAAATCAAGACAGAGTGAAAATGCATTGTGTGTTTATAGGACGAGTGTCAGTGAGCTGAAGGCCAGTAGCGTCCCAGGGATGAAGGGGGCCTTGGAAGCAATCTGTCCCACACATCGGAGAGGCATAGTATAAAAAGCCACACTGAATACTTTTGGATATTAGAGATTAAGAATGGCAAACATCACATATCAAAACTAATGAAATGTAGCAAAACTCAGTGTTTTGAAAGGAAATGTATAGTTTAAAATACTTAGATAAAGTTGATGAATGACTGAAATCGATAATCTATACATTTAATTTTTTAGTGTAGGAAAATAATCACAGAACAACTCAAAGAAGAGATATTTAAAAATACAAGAGAAGAGAGAGTGTGTCTATAAGTCCAAACCTGAAAATTCATTGTTTGGAAAAATAGTTCCAAGAAAATGAGCAACCCTTCAGTAAAACAGATTAAGGAAAAAGAGTTAAGATATAAACAATGTTGCAAATGAAAAAATGAACGTGATTATATATAAACAATATGATCAGTAATCATGTCAAAAAACTGAACAGATAAAGTGAGATTCTACACAAGACAATTTACCAAAATCAATGCAAAGAAACTGTACATGCTGTAGAGAAACTGAGGCATGGGTTAAACTCTTTTCCATGAAGACACTAGTCCTATGTGACTTTGTTCGTACATCCTTCCACACTGAAGGGACAGATCGGCTTGGTCTTGCTTAAATTCTTCTCAGGGGAGAAGGAAGAAGAGGTGCTCCCAGGTCACTTCAGGAAACCTGTTCAACTCTGGTATCGCACACAGGCAAATTAGAAGGAAAAGTAAAAGAGCCGTTTCACCCATGAGCAGAGAAGTGAGAAGTTAAGACAGATCCAACGATGTGTTAAAATGAGCAATGTGTCTGGACCAAGCAAGGTCAACCACGATGCAGGACAGATTAGCATCTGTAAACATTTGCTCTGGAAACACACTCGATCATTGGATAAAGTAACATAAGCACATGGTCAAAAGCTTTAGCAAATCAGGAGGAAAAGAGAGTTTCTATAACGCAATACAAAGTACAGAAAAAAATCTTACAGAAAATGGTGAGCACGGTATTCAGGAAGGGTGAACACAGATGGAGACGCAGTCGGGGAGAAAAGACACTTGTCATCATTTCAAAGGTCCTAAGCTTTTCCAAAGTGCATGTGTGTGTGTTCATATGGGAATGTGTTCTTATGTGTATGTGTAGGTATATGCTCATGCTTATGCATGTGGAAACCGGAGGTCAAACACAGGTGCTGTTTCTCCAGAGGCAGCCAGCCACCTTGGTTCTTTCATATCTCTCAGTGGGACCTGGACTTGCTGATTACGCCAGGCTAGCTGACCAATGACCCCCAGGGATGCTGCTCCTGTTTTCTTAGTTGCTGGGATTATACTACGCCCAGTTTTCTTACCTGTGTGCTGGGGGTTGGACTTAGGTACTCACGCTTTCCCGGGAGGTTCTTCACAGGCTGCGCCATCCCCCAGTCCTCAAGGACCTATTTTTTTTTTTTAATGTTGAGTTTGGGTTCCCATAGATTCTTATGTATTACAAGAATCAGGGGAGCAAGAAAATATCTATGGACAAGAGGATGTCATAAACCAGGGATTCCAGAGTGTGACTCCTGGGCCTCCAGCAACAGCATCACCTGGAGACATGTGAGCCTGCCCATCTCCACAGCCTCGCCCACATCTACTGAGCGAAATTCCGGGTGGAGTCTAGCAGCGCATCTCAACAAGCCCTCCATGGGATTCTAATGCTGACATCTGATGGACATCACACTTTCTTGCTTAGTTGATTTTTAAACTAGATTTAAAAAAAAGAAAAAGACCTTGGTCACATCTCCTCTTCCTCATGGTGCCCTCACAGAAAACATACAGAAAGAAAACAGAACCACTCTTAACAAAGTGATTCCCAATGCTAGAATTAGCTAACTTCATAGTTCCAGACTTTACCCTAAATAGAGCCCAAGTGGAAGCACTTTAAGAAAGTAATAGCTTCTGTATAAGGGAAAGTGACCCTTAGAAAGGCCTGTCATAGTTTTTTTTTTTTTTTTGGTTGTTTTTTCGAGACAGGGTTTCTCTGTGGTTTTGGAGCCTGTCCTGGAACTAGCTCTTGTAGACCAGGCTGGTCTCGAACTCACAGAGATCCACCTGCCTCTGCCTCCCGAGTGCTGGGATTAAGGCCTGTCATAGTTTGAATTGAAGGTGAACTTGTACAGGAGATCAGGACACGCAGGGGACCTCTGAGAGCAGAAGTCTAGAGAGGAGAAAGAATGCAGGTCGTGTTTCAGGTGCATGGTCACTGTTGTCCATGATGACGTGCAATTCAGGGTGCAGCATTGCTCTGCAGAGGTCAGAGAGGAAGCGTCTAGTCTTCAGAGCCCCCCGATACCTTGTGAACCTCGGCCAACTCATAGTCCACCCTCGCGGCCCTCTTCAGAAAGCCGGCCTTGGTGGTGATGATCTTGGGCTTTGGAGCTTTGATCCTGGGCTGCGTCACAAAATCAGGGAGGCATGATTCAAGTTCCACTAACCCTGTGGGAGGAAGCATGTGGTTTTAGTGTCCCCTGCTTACGCTGAACGGGCTGAAGGCGTACTGTTAGGACCATGAGCTTTGGAAGGTGACGTCTTTTAAGAGGATGAACTGTTTCTAAAGCGTCGAGTATGTGGAGTTAGCGTCTGCTCTCAGTGCCTTGGGCAGCTCAGTAAGAACCTATTCTAAACTAAAGATGTGTTCTACAGAAAGTACAGCCAGCAGCGATCTATACAGCTTTATGACAGATGGCGTCCCCATTCTAAAGTGGGCGTTCACCAACTCATCATATTTTGCTCTGGAGACACCAGCCAGGGCTCAAAGCTCAAGAGTCTGACCCGTAACTCAGGATCTTGGCCAGAGGATGCGCCAGCTTGGGCTAAACTGTTAAAAATTGAAACAAGTTTCTTGGGCTTCATAAGAGGCACAGAGCCCTTCAGGAATTGACCACCCAGTGACTTTGCCCTTTAGATTTCATTGTTTGTTTCATAAGCCCAGGTAAAGCTTTTAAATAAAAATATATTTCAAAGAGTGATTGCTGTCATTTCGTTTTAGGTAGAAATCTTGCTGAGTTGCCCAGGCTAGCCCAGACTTCTGGACTCTGGCGATTGCCGGTCTCCAGCTCTGAGAATTAGGAACCACAGACATTGGCTAGCTACACCTAAGCTACCACTTTTCATAGAGAACTGAATTTGCTCTGTGTTAGATTAGAAAACAGGGGTTTTCTGTTCTTTGCGTCTGAGTTTTTATTACTTCATATGAAGCTGTATTGACAAGCACATGCCATCTGTTGGTTGTTGCTTTTCAGGCGTTCTATTGTTTACCTTCGGGGTTTGTTTACCTTCGTAGGTGTTGAGGTAGTGGTTTCTGACGACAAAGTCCTCTGAGTTGTTGTCTGGGAAACGACCAAGGTAAGACAAAGGCCCGTAGACCTGAGATGCAAAATCAGAATAGTCCTTGATGATGTCTCTCCTCTGCAGCTTCCCCTCTATATTCTTCCCTTTTCTTAGGAGTTTTCTGATGTCTGCAATAAAGAGTACTGTCATGATTCTCTCCCAGATGCTACTCCCAATTATAAATGTAGACTAGTAAATTATAAATTAATAAATATAATCTATAAATGTAGACTAGTAAAGCAACTCGTTTGGCTCACAAGGAAGATATAGAGCTGGGTAAATTTTATGATGGCCCACGACAGCCAGAATGCAGCTCTAGAAACAGGTGTGCCATCTGTGTGGCTCTGAGTACCATGACAGGCAGGGTGGCAGAAGCTGAATCAGCTCGTGTCCTCAGTGTGGAGTCACACACACACAGACACACACACACACACACACACACACACGCACACACATACACCCGCCCACTCACACCTCCCTTTGATAACTGCACGCTCTGGGCTAAGAAGAAGCAGTCAATAGAAGATTGTGAAATAACCGAAAGCAATTCAGAGTAAATAGAAAATCTATGTTATGGTCAATGCTAGATCAACCCACCTCTTTGTAAGGGGAGCACTGCAGATGCACGCTGGCTAACACCAGGGTTTCAGATGTCCTGGCTTGGTGGGCAGAGGGAGAAGGCGCACAACCAAGCACTCGTCCGGGAGTCATGCATGCCCTCCCATCTGCTCTTCCGTCACTTCTCCCCAGAGAGCCATCCCTTCTGCAGCCCTCCCTGGGCCACCGCTAACAGCTGTGACAGCCTGTCACTAGAGTGAGGAGTCCAGAGCCACTGATGCTTTGCGCCTGCTGTTCACGGTTCGTCCGCAGGACTTTTTATGTGACTTGGAGTGTTAGAATTTGGGAAAATAATTTTCATATAACTATTTATCTATAATAGTTGAATCCATCACTAGCTATGTCTTGTATCGAAAAGAAAAAAATGTCTAAATACATCACCAAGAGCTAGTGAGGTTAGCTTGAGAAAATAAAACAAAAGCTGAGTTCACTAAAACGAATTTCTATGTAAGAATTTAATTTCAGAAAAAAAAATCCATGTTCACATATTTTTCTAAAAAAATGTGATTGAATTGCTAGGGTGCATATCATTTGCTATGTATTGGTACTACAACTCTTCAGTTTTTTTTTATGAATTTGGGGCAATCTGAAAACTTTCAGAGCTGTTTTTAAATTTCTTTTTTCATTAGCTCCTTGAGAATTTTGTACAGTGTGGTTTGATTATATTTTCCCCCTCCTCCATCCTCTCAGAGCCATGCCCCCTATTCCTTCACCCCTCCTCAGTCCTCTCAGAGCCACGCCCCTAGTCCTATTGCCCAATTTAGTGTCTTATTTTTGTCTATTGTGTTCTCATCCATCAAGTCCAATCTGTGCTGTTCATATATTCTTGGGTGTGTAGCTCTCCAGTGGGGTGTGGCCACTTACCAGCGTCAACACTCTCAAAAGGTAATACACTGTTTAAAACGTTAATCACCTTCTATTTTAAGTGTGTGTGGAAGTGAGTGTTTGTGCTGGAGGCTGGCAAGTGCCACGGCACACGTGTGAAGGTTGAGGACAACCTTCAGGAGTCAGTTCTCCCCTTCCGACCGTGTAGGTCCTGAGGATCAAACACAGTTACCCACAATCTCAATGGCCTCAGTAAGGCAATTTTACAGGTAATTTAAAAAAGTTTCTTTTTCAGTAGGAAATCTACAAAATTAAATAATAATAATTCAAGATTTAACCTGAGTTTTTAGTTTAGTTCTGTGTGTGTGCTGTATGTTCATGTGGTGCATGCACACGTGCGTGCTAGCAGGTGCGGAGGCCAGAGGAGACCTCTGTATGCTCTGTTCTAGCCACTGAAACGGGGTCTCACACTGAACTCGGGGCTGCTCAGCCAGACCCAGCGATCCTCTCCCCTCCTCCCTTGCATTGGCAGGACAGGCACACTTAGCCACACCCAACTTTTCACCGGGTGCTGGGGGTTTGAACGCAGGTCTTTGTGCTGGCACAGCAGGCATGCTTAGCCACTGAGCCTCTCCTCAGCTTCCGACATAGTCATTCTTAATCCTGCCCTGAATGATCAGTGAAGTGAGTATGAAAATATACTATTATAGGATATATAATCATAAATATATCTGTGGCATTAAAAATCTCTTAGAGAGAAGCAATTAGGAAAACGGAAGACTAAAATAGCTTAGGGGGCAAGAATTTAAAAAAAAAAACAGTTAATTGCCTGGCGCACACTTTTAATCCCAGAACTCTGGGAGGCAGAGGCAGGTGGATCTTTGTGAGTTCAAGGCCAGCCTGGTCTACAGAGCAAGTTCCAAGACTGGCTCCATAGCTGCTAAGAAACCCTGTTTCAAAAAACCAACCAACCAAACAAGCAAACAACAAAAACAAACAACGAAACAGTTAATCAATAGGCTTCCTAAGTAGAACCTTGGTCTATGAATGTGGGGAGCCTCGTACCAACAATGGCATATGTGTGCCTGCCAAGGACTCCACTACTTATTAGAACATGGTCACCTGGCCTTCTTAGCAATTTTCCGCCAATGCCCACCTTCCGAAAGTAGCTCCTCTCTCTTCCTTGCCTATGCGATACCAAACCAGACTTCCATCATCGCTCAGCCCCCTCCCTGGCCGGCTCACACCACAAATTACTTGACACGTGTGTGCGCTGGATCTGTGCCACTTTGGCCTCCTTCGCCTCCTGCAGCTTCCACCACTGGGCGTTCAGGTGCTTCATGTCCTGCTCATTCTGATTCTCCTCGCGCCTCCTCAGCAGCTGCTTCAGAACCTCCAGCCGCAGGTCCTGCAGTCTTGGGGTGGGTTACAGAGCATTACTCTCCCAAACCGGAAGTTCTATTGGAGAGCCACAGAAGGCCCTCCCTACGAGAATCATATTTGTGCGGTTTAAAAAGACCACTGTGGTAAAAAAAAAAAAGGGGGGGGGGGGGACAAGTGAGATGAAATCTCGGGGAGGTTACTCCGGCCACAGATCTCTATATCGTGGGAGCTTGGGAAAGGGGGCGTGTTTGTGCACACAGTCCGGAAGACCAAGAGCAGACAAATAAGGCAAGAGGTGGGCTCTCTAAGCAGCTGAACCTAGAGAACAAGAGGTTTGTGGACAGTACCAGACTAACCAGAGTTAAGAGGAGGAGGGAAGAAAGCCAGGGTAGGTAGTAAGCAATCTTGAGACAGGACTGTTCCCTACACATAGTAGGAACTCGGTTGTTAACCTTCCCTTTCATTCATGAATCTGTGCTCCCCACTCATGGGTTCTAGGGCTGCCTTGCTTATATATCTGACCACATGCAAGTGGTGGCGATGTCTGTGCCCTCAGCTGCTTAGGGACCAGTGTTTCTGCCTTGGGGAACCTGGTGTGTGCACACCAACCAGCACATGGAGGATATGTATTCAAAGCCAGCCTGGACTACATAGAGAAATTCTGTCTCAGAAAAGAGCAAAGGGACGATGGGGCTGAAAGTAGGGGCACCAGAGAGGACAGGATGTGCCTCAGATCTTCCCGAAGTGCAGACAGTGAGGGAGGATGGAGCCAGGAGATCAAGGCTTCTGGAGACTGTGCTATTAACATGAAGGCACACAGCCCCGCTGCTTTCCAGAGTGAAGGATATATAGTCACACGCTACACAAGGGATCGGGTCTTGAGTACTTTGAAGGGTCTGTGACACTGTGAGGAAGCGGAACAGTTCCTGTCACCTAGTGACAGCAAAGCCACTGAAGCTCCATAGACCAACACATTGTTCCCACTTATAATGATGTTGTAAACAGATGCACTCGGCAGCCAGCCATGTAAAGCTTGGCCAATACAATACTATACAGCACTTGATAATGGTAACAACTCCCTATGTATGCTGACAGATTTATGTCGCTTGTTTATTGCTGTTTTATTTATGTATTTAGAGACAGGGCCTCATGTAGCCTAGGATGACCGCAAACTCAGTACACCGTCAGTGGTCTTGAACTACTGATCCTCCTGCCTCTACCTGTTGACCACTGACGTCAACCTCCAGGCCAGGCTTTTAGTGTTATTTTACTGTGTTATTTTTAAAGCTTCTAGTAAAAATTTTATGTTGGTGGCAGCCCTGTATACCTCATATTTACCATATATCCAATGGCACCGAAGGGCCACACTGAGTGACCTTAGCTGTTCAGGATGAGAAAGAACACTCTGAGAGTCACCCAGCGATGGGCCCACCTAGTGACACACTTCTCAGAACACACCCCACTGTTAATCAGGCAGTGACTGTACTGAGTGGCACCAGGGTCACCCACAGCCCTCTGTTAAGCAGGCAGTGACTGTTCTAGGTGGCGCCAGGATCGCCCACTTCCCTCTGTTAATCAGGCGATACCAGGGTCGCCCACATCCCTCTGTTAAGCAGGCGATACCAGGGTTGCCCACATCCCTCTGTTAATCAGGCGATACCAGGGTCGCCCACTTCCCTCTGTTAATCAGGCGATACCAGGGTCGCCCACATCCCTCTGTTAAGCAGGCAGTGACTGTTCTAGGTGGTACCAGGGTCGCCCACTTCCCTCTGTTAATCAGGCGATACCAGGGTCGCCCACTTCCCTCTGTTAATCAGGCGATACCAGGGTCGCCCACTTCCCTCTGTTAATCAGGCGATACCAGGGTCGCCCACATCCCTCTGTTAATCAGGCAATACCAGGGTCGCCCACTTCCCTCTGTTAATCAGGCGATACCAGGGTCGCCCAGTGACTGTTCTAGGTGGCGCCAGGGTCGCCCACAGACCTCTGTTAATCAGGCGATACCAGGGTCGCCCAGTGACTGTTCTAGGTGGCGCCAGGGTCGCCCACAGACCTCTGTTAATCAGGCGATACCAGGGTCGCCCAGTGACTGTTCTAGGTGGCGCCAGGGTCACTTCTCCATCTTTCTTTTACTTCTATTTCTTCTGTGGCAGAATGGAGATAATAGTGACTCTTTCATGAGGTTGTTGTGGGCGTTAAATGAGTAACCGCAGGAAAACTTCTCGAACTTAAGTGTGAAACAGAGCTCTCTGGAAGGTCTGCTCCGATGCAGACTGATGACTCTGACCTCCTGATTCAGTAGGATGAGCCCAAGACTATGGGTTTCTAGAGTGTTCTCAGAACATTGTGCACAGAGTGAGCACTCTGAGTGATGTGTTCTAAAAACCACAATAATGATGATAATGATGGTGACGGTGCTCTCACCAACCCAGGACAGCTCTCCAGGAGCCAGAGAACCTACTTTTCAATCTCTCCCTCTCTGAAGGCCCACTCCTTCCTCTCCATGGCGTTCATCATCTTCCTCCTCTTCTCAATTTGGAGGTTGTCGTTCAGTGGGGGCAGAGTGGCTTCCCAAGCACGCTTTTCCCGGGCCCGTTCTATCATCTCCACCTCAGCTTGTCCTGCTGGGAGACCTCGGCCTGCAAGGGAATATCACAGCTCAGGAACACAGGGCACACCCACAAGCCACCCTCGTCAGCCTTCCTCCTGCCCTGCTCTAAATTCAAGTGTTGGACTAGATCATGATGTCACTGGGAAAGGTTCCTTGGACACCTCAAAGCTTATGTTACCTGTGCCCTTCGTGCCTCCTCTTACTGAGGCAGAAGTTGTTTTGTTATAGAATATTATTTTAAGATGAGTACATTTATTTATGCTATGGAACATTTGTTTAATAGTGCAAAGAAGTGTTGCATTCTTTCATGTTGCATTTGTTTAACTCTGTGAAGTTGTATTACTTTGCCTGCCTAAAACACCTGATGGGTCTAATAAGGAGCTGAACGGCCAATAGGATAGGCAGGGCTGGCAGGCAGAGAGAAGAAATAGGAGGAGAAAAAGATCAAGGGGAAAGGAAGAGAGGAGGATGTAAGGGGCCAGCCACCCAGCTCCATAAACAGTGATGGAGTAGGAAAGAATGAAGGGTGTATAAAATAGAGAAAGATAAGAGCCCGGAGGTGAAAGATAGATGGGATAAATTTAAGAACAGCTGGCTAGAAACAAGCGAAGCTAAGGTCTGTTATTTATAAGTAATCATAAGAATCTGTGTGTATTTATTTAGGAGCTGCGTGAAGAGATGATAGTGAAAAGCAACAACATTTTCGGTTGCTTACATTGTCCCAGGAAAGCACTGAGGAAACGGTCAGTGGCCACCGAATGGTCACAACTTCGAAAGTCCTGTACTAGACAAGTCCATGTTTTAAAACGCAAAGAGGGGCTGGAGAGATGGCTGATCTTCCCAAGGACACAGGCTCAGTTCTCAGCACCCACAAAGTGACTCAAAACCATCTGTAACTCCAGTTCCAGAGGCTCTGGCACCCTCTTCTGGCCTGGTGGGCACTGTACATATTGTAGTACACATTAATAGACAGGCAAAACACCCACATACTCAAAATAAAAATAAATAAAATTTCCAAAACATTAAATGCAGAGGGGAAAACAGATCTGAGATTGTAGCTTTGTTGAATGAAAGTTAAAAGGAACCATACTTTTAAAAAGGAACAGATGACAAAGAAATAATCCTGAGTCAAGAATCTTCCTTGCATCTGTCCCCTCTAGTGAATGTACAGTCTAGCAGTGGGCCTCACTTCCACTTTTAAGAGTTCAAATACTGATCTAGTCATAGTCATAGCTATAGCTCAGAAGCACAAGCCAGGACTTAGCTCAACTTAGCCTCCTCTGACCCAGGGTTTGGGAACCCAGTTGCAGATTTTATAGCTAGCAGATCTAACTGTAGCTTTGTCTTGGTCCATTATCTTCATAGGGCCAAAAACTACTTAAGGAAATAGGTATCAAGTGAGTTCCTGTTTAATATTTTAATTTTTATTTTAAAAATAATTATATAGAAAAGTCTAAAGAAAAAATATATTTCTACCAAATACAGTGAGCTACTTCTTAATTTTCTGTTCTATTTGTTCTACGTCTTTTTTATTCATTAATTTGTTTGATGTATGAAGAAATACATATGTTTAAAGAAATGAGTAGGGGCCGGGTGGTGGTGGCGCACACCTTTAATCCCAGCACTTGGGAGGCAGAGGCAGGCAGATCTTTGTGAGTTCGAGGCCAGCCTGGTCTACAAGAGCTAGTTCCAGAACAGGCTCCAAAGCTACAGAGAAACACTGTCTCGAAAAAACAAAAAGAAAAGAAAAAGAAATGAGTAGGGCTGGAAAGAATTAAGAACAGTTAAGCATTTTAAGAGTACATGCTGTTCTTGCAGAGGACCAGAGTCTGGATCCCAGCGCCTACATCAGGTGGCTCATAACAGTCTATAACATCATTTCCAAGGGATCTCGCTCTATTTTGGCCTCTACAGGTACCTGTACTCACATGCATATACCCTCCCTTGTGCCCCTCACACACAATTGCATAATTACATTTTTTTAATCTAAGTAAAATATGTTCTTAAAAAGAAAATGTAACAGCTTTAAAAGAAATGAATAATCCCATGTCTAATACATATGAAAATAAATATATCTGGTATTTGTATAGGGTTTTGTTTAGTAATTTAAAAATAAAAGTATGAAAATACCATTTTCATACCAGACATCCGTATTATCTATCAAGTATCTTTACCTTTTCTAATGAAAGAAATTTAAAAATTAAAACTAAAGCTAAAAATTCTTTTAATCACGAGCCCCGCTCTCCTCTTCCATCTCCCAAGATAAACACAAAAGGAATTTAGAGCATTCTTCCTAACCTTGGCATTTTGGGTCTCTGGGAGTTACACTTCGTTTTGTTTTCCAGACAGGGTTTCTCTGTGTAGCTCTGGCTGTCCTGGAACTCACTCTGTAGACCAGGCTGGCCTCGAACTCACAGTGATACACCTGCCTCTGCCTCCCTAGCTCTGGGATTAAAGGTGTGCTACCCGGTGATAAATTACACCTTTAATCACTTATAATATAGTTCAAATTTATCTACTCATCAATAGATATCTATCATAGAAGTATAATGATTCCTATCTTACAAATAAAGAAACCGAGGGGCTAAAAGGTGAAGCCAGTTCCATGAAGCGGAGGTCAAGATCAAGCGCAGCGGTCTATACTGTGTTCTTTATACATGGGCAGTTATGCCCCTCATGAGGCAGGAACCAGAAACCAGATTTCATTTGAAGATGAAACAGAAAGAGCTACATAGAAACAAATGAACCGACTTTACATGCTGTTTTTACAATTACATGCGAGCTGGATTCACGTGTGCTTGCTCATAGCCAGAGGCTATGTGTTATCCTGAAACTTGTCCTTATTCCACTCCATGGTGGGGGACCCTCGACTGCACTCTCAGAGCGATCCAGGACTTCATTCGGTTTAAGCTCGCATCTCTGATGGACCCCTAGATTGTCTCAATATCTACATCTACTCAAGGCTGCAGCAAACCCCCTCCTCTGGTCTCCCAGTGTGAGCTTCTCTGGGATTCTCACAAGAAAGGCTTCAGTCTGGAAGCTTGGATTTAAGATAGGATCGCATTAATTCTGGAAACTGCTAATTCTACCGTGGGCGGGTATTCCTGCTGGGTATTACAATTCCTCCCTCCTTCCCACAGGATTTATAGTCAATCTCAGTTGCCCCCTGCAGGCTTTGCAAACACAAAGGATTTGTGGATTCTGTGCAGAGTTTGAGAATCCCTGTGTAGCTATCTTACACAGGGACAGTTAGAGCAGGAGTAGGGATTTCAGTTAGAATTACCTGAAGATATAAGGAAGGAAATCCCACCCATTTGAGCTCCCCACTCACAAGCGTGGTCTGCTTCTGCTTTCCTCGCACCTCTTAGGCCTAAAGAACCATTTTTAATTTCTCTATAAAGTCTTGGCCTGTCATTAAGTGATTACGCCCATTCTCATTTGCTACAATTAGGCTGTGATCTTTCCCAGTAACTTCTAAGTACATGCTGCCCATGCAGTAAGGTTACTAGTCTTTGTGCGTGTGTTGATTTCATGCTCAGCTCTCTTGTGGATCATTTTGTTTTAGTGCGATTCCTCAGTGTGCCGTTTTGAGACAGGGTCTCACTAAGTAACACTGGCTAGCCTGGAACTCACGGAGGTCCACTTGTCTCTGCCTTCTGAGCGCTGAGATCAAAGGCGTGCGCTGCCACAATGGCCTCTTAACAGATTTTTTTTTTAATAGATCACATTTTATTTTATGTGCGTGGGTGTTGTTTTGCTTGCATGTATGACTATGCACCACTTACATGCCTGGCTTCTTGCAGAGGCCAGAAGAGGGTGTCATATTCCCTGAAATGGAAGGTACATATGATTGTGAGGTACGATGTAGATCCCGGGAGTTGAACCCAGGTCCTCTGAAAATCAGCCACTGAGCTGATTCCCACTGAAGTAACCACTGAGCCATCACCCCAGACTCTTATTAGGGTTTTACATGGTTTTGCTGCTGACCCTTATCCCATTTCTTTCCTGTCTTGTTCACGCTCACATCATCTTACCTCTCTGTTGCATTCTGGGACTCATCTTCGTCTTCAAACAAATCCCCGGCCACTTGTCTTCTTTTGAGAAATGTCTATTCAGGCTCACTGCCCAGTTTTAAGTAAGGTTATGTTCACTTTCCATTGCGTAGTGTGCGGTCCTTGTATAGTCTGAAGACGGAGACTAACCCCTGCCTAATAATATATTATACACAAATATTTTCTCCCAGCATGTGAGTTATCCTTCACTGTAAAAAGCAGAACTGCCTGAAAATGCGTCATCCCCAGGAACTCAGTAGCTTGCACTGCTGTCTGCAATATTCAGTGACAGTTACCAACTCACCCCAAGTCAGGTTAGCCAGGGTTAGGAGCTCAGGAATAGTGTCTTGACACACGACATATTCTGGAGAGTACGGATCCGTTTGCACATCCGCGTCCCGGTAGTCGGTCTGAGTTCCCACAGTAGACTTCGAAGGGATGATGGTATACTTGGAAGATTCAGAAGAAAAAACAAATGGTTCTGTCCTAGGAGGATAGAATTAAAGGTTGAAACTCAATGTGAACATTTAGAACACTACAGAACCAGGTAAAAACAAGTCTTTGGGCTTCGTTAAGACCCTCCCCCCTTTAAATGCTCACAGAGTCCATCCAGCATGACTATGAGTGTGCCCGTGTGCCCTACAGTTCCTAGAGAACAACCACGTTGCTCTCACAGGTACCAGGGCAGTGAGTGGATATAAACGGTGTGTGTGGGCTGCACAGCCAGAGACGGCTCTCGGGTGGGGGTGCTGCATCCCCAGGTCTGGACTGCTCAGCTTCGCTGCATTCCCTGCTGCGTCTCTGATCTCAGTTATAGCCCAGTTTAGCTGTGTCTTTGCAGAGATGCAGAGGACAGAATGCTCGCTGAAGGCACCAGGACGCATGTGTCTTCGTGGATGATGGCTCTTTAATCAAGGCTGGGATAACGCAGTGAGCACGTGGGAGAGTTAGCAAACCCCCGCCACAAAAATCATCTGCAGGGAGACTGCAAACGCATCAACAGAAAGTATAACCAGGGGCCAGTGGGATAGCCCAGTGGGTAAAGGCGCTTGCCGACAAGTTTGATGACCTGAGTTTGATCTCTGGAATTATAGGATAGAAGGGCAGAACGGATTCCCGCATGCTATCCAGTGTCACACATGCTCCCACATCCACATACAAACACCTTCCCCAGTAAATAAGTAAACATGCTTTTCTTTCTTTTGCTAGCAAACGTATCTTGGTATGGGGCATATACCTATAATCCAGTACTGGGAGATAGGGACGTGGTGAGCCGGAGACAAGTCTGACTATATAGCAAGAAGTTGTCTCAAAAAAAATGCATAAGTGAAAATATTTATACTGGGGCTGGGGAGGTGGCTTGGGGGAAAAAGTGTTTGCTGAACAAGCCTGGTGGCTTGAATTTGATGCCTGGAGCCCACTGCAGGGGCATGTGTCTGTAACCCCAGAACTCCCAGTGGAAGATATGAGACAGAGAAAGAACCAGCAGGGAGCTCAAGGGCCATTTAGTCTAGAACACACTGTACACACAGAGAGAGACCCTCCCTCAGCTAGCCTAAACACACTGCACAGAGAGACCCTCCCTCGGCTAGCCTGGACACACTCACAGAGAGACCCTCCCTCAGCTAGCCTGGACACACTCACAGAGAGACCCTCCCTCAGCTAGCCTGGACACACTCACAGAGAGACCCTCCCTCAGCTAGCCTGGACACACTCACAGAGAGACCCTCCCTCAGCTAGCCTGGACACACTCACAGAGAGACCCTCCCTCAGCTAGCCTGGACACACTCACAGAGAGACCCTCCCTCAGCTAGCCTGGACACACTCACAGAGAGACCTTCCCTCAGCTAGCCTGGACACACTCACAGAGAGACCCTCCCTCAGCTAGCCTGGACACACTCACAGAGAGACCCTCCCTCAGCTAGCCTGGACACACTCACAGAGAGACCCTCCCTCAGCTAGCCTGGACACACTCACAGAGAGACCCTCCCTCAGCTAGCCTGGACACACTCACAGAGAGACCCTCCCTTAGCTAGCCTGGACACACTCACAGAGAGACCTTCCCTTGGCTAGCCTGGACACACTCACAGAGAGACCCTCCCTCAGCTAGCCTGGACACACTCACAGAGAGACCTTCCCTTGGCTAGCCTGGACACACTCACAGAGAGACCTTCCCTCAGCTAGCCTGGACACACTCACAGAGAGACCCTCCCTCAACAAGAAAGATGGAGAGACCTGACTCTCAAAAGTTGTCCTCTGACATACACAGACTGGCATGGTACATGTGTGCCCACGCTCACACACATAAATAGACGGAGGAATGGACAGATAAGAGCATATGGAAACACAAAAGCCCAGAATAGCCAAAACAATACTGCACAATAAAGGAGTTTCTAGGGGTGTCACCATCCCTGATATCAAGCTCTACTATAGAGCTGCAGTAATAAAAACAGCTTGGTATTAGCATTAAAACAGACATGTGGGTCAATGGAATCGAATTGAAGACCCTGATACTAATTCATACACCTATGAACACCTGATTTTTAACAAAGAAACTAAAATTATACAATGGAAAAAAAGAAAGCATCTTCAACAAATGGTGCTGGCATTACTGGATGTCGACATGTAGAAGAATGCAGATAGATCCATATCTATCACCACGCACAAAACTCAAGTCAAAGTGGGTCAAAGACCTGAATATAAACCCAGCCAATTGAACTTCATAGAAGAGAAAGTAGGAAGTAGTTTTGAACGCATTGGCACAGGAGACTACTTCCTAAATATAATACCAGTAGCACGGACTTTGAGAGCCACAATTAATAAATGGGAGCCCTGAAACTGAGAAGCTGCTGTAAGGCAAAGGTTACAGTCAATAAGACAAAATGGCAGCCTAGAAAATGGGAAAAGGTCTTTACCAACCCCACATCTGACATCAAGTAACTAGACACTAAAATTGCCAAATAATTCAATTTAAAAATGGGGTACAATCTAAGCAAAATTCTCAACAGAAGAATCTCAAATGCCCTAAAGACATTAAGGAATTGCTCAACATCCTTACCCGTTAGGGAAATGCAAATCAAAATGACACTGAACACCTATCAGAATGTCTAAGATCAAAATGCCAATGACAGCTTATGCTGCAGAGAGACAGCTCCATCGTGGGTGGAAGTGCAAACTTGTACAGGCATTTTGGAAATCACTATGGCAGTTTCTCAGAAATTTGGGAATCAATGTACCTCAAGACCCAGCAATATCACTCTTGGGCACAATCATACCACAAGGATATTTGCTCAACTATATTCATAGCAGCATAGTTAATAGCCAGAAGCTGGAAACAACCTAGATACCCACCAACAAAAGAATGGATAAAGAAAATATATGTGGCGCATTTACATAATGGAGTACTACTCAGCAGTAAAAAAAACAATGACATCTTAAAATTTGCAGGCAAATAGATAGAACTAGAAAAAAAAACCATCCTGAGTGAGGTAACCCAGACCCAGAAAGACAAGCACGGTATGTACTGACTCATAAGTGGATATTAGATACAAAGAAAAGGATAACCAGGCTACAATCCACAATTCCAGAAAAACTTGGTTAAAAGGGGGACCAAGAGGAGAACACACATGGACAGTCCCAGGAAGGAAAAATAGTTAAGATGGCCTGGGTCAACTGGGAGGGGGTAGAAGGGAGGGGATGGGGAATGGGAACATGAAGATGCAAGATGGCTGAGGTGAGGGAGGGACAGAGAGGAAGAGCAATGAAAGAGATATCTCGATAGAGGGAGCCATTATGGGGTCCGGGAGAAATCTGGTGCTAGGGAAATTCCCAGGAATCCACAAAGATGAACCCAGCTAAGACTCCTAGCAATAGTGGAGAGGGCATCTGAACAGGCCTTCCCCAATAATCAGATTAGTGACCATCCTAATCGCCATCACAGAACCTACATCCAGTGACTGATGGAAGCAGATGCAGTGACCCACAGCCAAGCACTGGGCTGAGCTCCTGGAGTTCAATTGAAGAGAGGGAGGAGGGATTATATGAGCAAGGGGTATCAAGATCATAATGGGGAAAACCACAGAGACAGCTGACACAAGCTAGTGGGAGCTCACGGACTCTTAAAACCCTAGCCACCCCCCCAAAAAAAACATTTCATGACTGATTCGTCTTCCCGATAAAACACTGAGGCATTGCCACCCCAAAAGTGTGTATGGCAGGGAAACAAAAAATAGACGTGTGAAGTGTGTGTGTGTGTGTGTGTGTGTGTGTGTGTGTTACAGATGAAAAACTTAATTCCTCTTTTGATGAGACTCAAAGGTGGAACTATTGGGAAGTGATAAGCCTTCATGGGTAGATTGGAACCTTATAATGGTGCTAGAGGTAACAACTTAGGGCCCACTTCTTAGTATGTGTGAGCATAGTCTTTCCCCCTTTCACTACATGAGGACATGGCAAGACAGCCCTCACCAGACTCTCAATGCTGCTACTTTGGTCTCAGACTTCCTAGCCTCCAGAAAGATGAGAAATGAATTTCTATTACTTATAAGTTACTCAGTCCTCAGTCGATGACAATATGCAGCACACATAAATCAGTATCAGAAATATATTTCATGTCATAACCATTATATCCATAAAGACATGGCCATTCATCTCTATTACACAACGTGTATATAAGATGGCGACATATGTCTGATACTTTGACCTACTATAAAAATTATTAAGCTTTAATATTCTATGTAACATTATTACTCAGACCTTGGCACACAGAAAATCACCAGAGGGATCAGGTAGGCTCCTGACTATGGTGGTCGGTGGTTTATAGGTTGCAAAGCACTGATCTCGAGAACTGCCTTCCTGAAGTAAAAATGAAGTGAATGATGAGAGAGTTGCGAAATAAAACACTTACTTGGCTGGTGCTAAGACAACATTGAGCGGCATCTGTTGAAGAAATGGAAGGAAGGGCCTGGGAGGAACAGGAAAACACGTGTGAGATTTTTGTACTGGCTCAACCTTTCTCCTTACTTAAATATTTCTTCCTTTAAAAAAAAATCAATGGGTTTGAATAAACTAAAAAGAAATGAGTAATATTCAAAGTTTTGTGTATACAAAACTGCTGGAGATGCTCTTATTTAAAGCGCAAATTCCAAGCTCTGGCCCAGGAGATCCGGCCAGGATCTGGCACAGCTGGTTACTCGGCATCCTCACTGTGCACACTGGTGTCTCCTAGGCAGCCATGTTCTCAGGAGACTCTCTGCACTCGGTCTTCAGGTACCTGTTAGTCTCCAGCAACTCCTCAAGTTCTTAAGACCTTCTGAGATGACCAAGGCCTTCATTTGAAGCTTCCCCTCCTGCCAAGAGCCTAAGAACTTACATCTATTATAGTTAAGAAATTAAATTTCTCTTAAAAATGATGTTTTTTAAAGTATGAGAACATCTCCGTGAGGAAATGTTTATGTGTGATAAAGTAGATCAGAAAGTCACCTTTGAAAGGAAGTTAATTCAGATGTGGCATCAAGATTATCTTCCAACCCACGATTGGCAGGGATATCCTCATTTGAGGTTGGTCTGCCCTGAGAATATGATTTTCACAGGAGTAGCAGTCATTGATGAAGTAAAAGCTTGTGGTTGGGTTTGAACATTTGCAAGTATTGTCTGTTTGGATGTTTTTAGCAATTTCTCCTACCCGGCGCTTTCAAGATATATGTTATATTTGACTTCATTTGATGACGTTTTGCTATCAACTATCCATCCTTCGTTGCCATGGGTACCTCATCTGCCCTCTCGTACGTCTACTGTGAAGATTAGGTAACATCCAAGCAAAGAACTGACCATGAGGGCTGGCACGCTGCACCCACTAGGAGTGACAACTGCTGCCACCACCATAAAGAGGCTCCTCAGAGCCTCAGGCTCTAACATTTCTTACTCTTCACTTTCTACCTGTCAAAGAATTTATAGCGATTCCGTCCAGAAACATCCACATCTTCATACTCTTCCTTGGGCATCTGGAAGGAAGCATCCACCCTAAAATGAAGCAGAGAAATACATTCAAGCCATCCTCTCTACGTGTCGTGTTTCTGTGCGTAGGAACAGAGCTGAGCTGAGCTGATCTGGTAAGAGGAAAGTCAGAGTTGGGAAATGAACAGATTTATAAAATCCCCAATACGAAAATGCCATTTTTAATAAAAATAGCAAAATTTCAAAGACTCATTTCATGCCCTGTCTGGGCTACACTATTTATATTAACTTACCATGATTTACTTGTAAGTCATTTAAATAACTAAGATTTCAATAGATTTATTTTTGAAGGTGATTTTCTTGTAAGTACAAAAACAAAAATAAAAAACCAAAAAAAAAAGGCACCATAGTTTAGGTTCCAGAAGAAAAGATCAATTTTTTTATTTTCTATGTGTATTGGTGTTTTGCCTGCATGTCTGTCTAATCTTGGTGTTACAGACAGTTGCAAGCTGCCATGTGGATGCTGGAAATTGAACCCAGGTCCTCTGGAAGAACAGTCAGTGCTCTTAACCACAGAGCTATCTCTCTGGCCCCAAAAAGATCACTTACAATTTCTAAGGTGAGCCAAAGGAACAACAGACTGGATCATCCCTGGCTTTGGTGGTGAGCTGTCCTTTAACATACATGTAAATATGCATGCCAACCTTCTGAGAACTTTTAACCATATATAAATATGGTTTAATTGTAAATATATTTACATATATATTTATATGTAAATTATATGTGTAAATAAATATATATGAGAATGATCACATATATAGCTAATATGTTATATATTTATTATATATAAACATATATTTTAGAACTTATTTAATATATTTACATGTTTTGCAAATAATTATAAAACTCATATATATTAATATATGGTTAATAAATATAACCTATATATGTATAAAATGTATGGCTTTTATTTCTTAATCAGTTTTATTTTACAAAGAGGGATTTACATCACAGTTATAAGTTTTCAAATCATGTGAAATAATTACAATTTTTAAAAAATCAATATATTCATTAAAAACATGAATATATTTTGGAGCAGGACCCCCTGATACTTACGTAGCACAGAGTCGAAGGACTTCCTTGTGTCTGGCTTCTTGCCCCCTCCATTCTCGATTGACACACAATGGGACAGGATCTGACTTGTTCCAATACATGGAATATCGTGGATGATGAAACAGGTTACTGAACATGGACCTAAAGTGAGGAACTTTTCTCTAATGGTGGGAAAGGGAGGCAGAGAGGAAAAGGTCAAAATTACATGGTCAGGTTTTCTAATACAACTTAATTACGTTGTAAGTTTTTTCAAAAGCACAAAACGACGTATCTAGCACCAGAGGAGGAGTTACTAGTGCGTGCACAGACTATCTTTAGGAAGAAACCCAAAAGGCTGGCAACCGTATTCATGTGACAGGAGCTAGGACTATATTATTCTCTACTGTATATGCTTTTCCACCACTTAAACTTCCTAGCCCAGGCGCACACACAATTTCCATTGACTTAGCTCATGGCTTCGTGTGTGTGTGTGTGTGTGTGTGTGTGTGTGTGTAAAATAGGCAGCTCTCCAGAGCTCTAGCGCGTGTGTATGCGTATGTACATGAACCCAGGTGCCCACAGAGGCCAGAAGAGGTCATCCAATCCCACAGAACTGCAGTGACAGGCAACTCAGTTGCAGGTGGTTGTGAGTCACCGCACCTGGTTGCTGGAAACTGAACTCCCATACTTTTGCAAGAGCAGCAAGCACCATTAACCTCGGTGCCGTCTCTCCAGACCAGTTTATGGGTTCTTTGTTCGCTATTGCTTAACCCCTGCAATGAGCTGCGTGTCCTAACAAGCCTGGTCCCTGTAATCATGGTGCAGTAATTCCTACAGTACTCCCAATCCGGATTAATCGCTCTGATTAGTGCAGTAGCCAAGCCTGCTGATTCCTATTGATTAGGTTGTGCTGGTAGATAAGTTAGACTTACCAGTCTGCTTCGAACCAGGGTGGCTTGGATATTCGCCTGGGCATGGTCTCGCTCACTCGACACAATGAACAACGGGTCTGTAAAGCAGTAGAGTGACGTAGAGATTAAAGTATGTTTACACCTCCAGGGAGAATCCTGGGCAAAGAATGCAACTTTCTCCGACTTATCTCTCTCATCTTTATTTATTTTTTTTCTATTTTTAATTGAAGATAGATTTTTTTTCATACAATATATTCTGATTCTGGTTTTCCCTCTCTAAACTCCTCCAGATCCTCCCCCTTCCCACCCAAATCCATGCTCTTTCTTTCTCTCTTTAGAAAACAAACAGGCATCTAAAAAAAAAAGTAAAATACGATAAAATAAACTAAGTAGAGAAAATAAGTAAAATAAGATAAAATAAAAGCAAACAAATTGGAATAAGATAAAGCAAACAAAGAGAAGAAAAAAACAAAGAAAAAGCACAAGAAACATATACAGACGTAGACACACGCACATTTTCTCACACAGAAATTCCATAAAAACACAAAAGTGGAAGCTTATATATGCAGAAGATGATTAGAGGAAACAAAGTCCCTAACAAAGCATCATAGAACAAAGAATCTTCAGATATGCCATTGTATTTGTTTCGTGTTGGCTTCTACTGCTGGGCACAGGCCTGGCCTGAAGAGTGATTTGTTTACCCTGTGAGACTCTGTTGGAGAGAACTAAGTTTTGCTTTGTGAGCAGTTATCAGCTGGAGCCGGCTTCTGGGTTAGGGATGGGGGTTTGTGTCCATTTCCCTCTCAGCACTGGAACCCCCTCTGGCTTGGACCCATGCAGGCCTGTGCATGCTACCACGGGCTCTGTGAATTTGTGTATCAGTCCTGCTATGTTTACAAGGCTTTGCATCCTTGGTGCCCGCCATGCCCTCTGGCTTTTACAGTCTTTCCACCTCCTCTTCTGTGGAGTTCCCTGAGGAGAGGGATTTGATGTATTCATTCCATTTAGGACTGAGTGTTCCGATGTCTCTTTCTCTCTGGATAAGGTCCAGTTGTGGGTCTCTGTGTCTATTCCCATTTACTGCAAGAGGAGGCTTCTCTGATGATGACTGAGCAAGACACTGATCTATGTTATAGCAGAATGTCATTAGGAGTCATTTTATTGCTACATTCCTTTGGCAGAACAGTAGTTGGTGCGGGAGAATTGTCTGTATTCTGTCAATCATGTTTTAAATAAATGCTAATTGGCCAGGCAGGTCAACCAGACAGGAAGTAAAGGTGGAGCGATGAGAACAGGAGTATTCTGGGAAGAAGGAAGCTCTTTCCCCAGTCCTGTCTCAACCACCTAAGAAGCAAGATGTGACCTGCCCCACTGAAAAAAGTACTGAGCCATGTGGCTAACATAGACTAGAACAATGGGTTAATATAAGCTACAAGAGCTAATAAGAAACCTGAGCTAATGGGCCAATCAGTTTATAACTTATGGAGACCCCTGTGATTTCTTTGGGACTTGCTGGCTGTGGGAACTGGGCAGGACAGAAATCCCCACAAGCCCGCTCCTCCTGTTACAAGTAGTATTTTATTTTCCCCTTGGTTCGTGGCCTGTCGAGTCTCAGGTTCTTGGCCTGAGCAGTGTCGGGGATGGGTTCCAGCTCTAGAGCAGGTCTAAATCCAATCAGACATTGGTTGGTCACTCCCAGAAGCTTTGTGCCACTGTGGTATATTTTGAAAATGAATGGTTTTACATTTCTTTATTTGCCACTGCTCATTTGCAGATACCAAAGGACAACTTGCAGGAGCCAGTTCCCTCCTTGAACCACGTAGGTTCTAGGACAGAAACCCGGGTCATGAGGCACTTACTTACTGAGCTATCTTACTGGCCCTTTCTATTTTTAATGCTGAGCCTTGCTATGTGTTGTCCGAGCTAGCCCTGAACTCCTGATTCTTGCTATGTTGTCCAGGAGATCCCTGAACTCCTGATTCTTGCTATGTTGTCTGAGCTAGTCTTGAACTCCTGATTCGTGCTATGTTGTCCAAGCTAGCCCTGGATTCCTGATTCTTGCTATGTTGTCCAGGATAGCCCTGAACTCCTGAATGTAGTAGATCTTCCTGTCTCTGCCGTCTGAGCAGGAAGGAAGGGCTGGAGGTAAACACCACTATGCTTGAGTTGCAGTTTAAGTGGAAAGCAAATTAGAGGGTTTAGACAATGCCTACCTGCAGCAGGTGATGGTCCTGTTACCCTCTCCCACCTACCAGGGACTCTCTTGGATGTGTTTCTTTCCTGTGAATTCCAAGTCACCTTGTGGAATTGGGATGCAAACAAAAAGCCTATCATGTTTCTAGCACAATACCCTAAATACTCCTCCCCCCCCCTTCTTTTTGGGTCTGGGTCACCTAAAAAATACTTCAAGAGGAGGAATCTTGTATATAAACACTATTCCCGTTTCTAGTCAAAAGAACAAATTTTTAGCAGTGCAGGGAAGATGGCTCAGTAATAGTGTTTACGGCACCAGTGTGAAGATGTGAGTTTAGAGCCCCAGCAAGTATACAAAGAGCCAGCACAGCAGCCTATATACTTGTAATACCAGAACTTGGGAGGTAGGGCCAGGAGGATTCCCAGGACACTACAGCAGAGTCTGTAAGCTCTAGGTCTGATGAGACCTTGTGTTAAAAATATGGTGCAGAATTCAACGCAATGCCCATCAAAATCCCAGCAAAACTCTTCAAAGACCTCGAAAGAATGGCACTCAACTTCATTTGGAAAAGCAAAAAACCCAGGATAGCCAAAACAATCCTATATAATAAAAGAACTTCTGGAGGCATCACAATCCCTGACTTCAAACTCTGCTACAGAGCTACAGTACTAAGAACAGCCTGGTATTGGCATAAGAACAGACAGGAGGACCAATGGAACCGAATGGAAGAGTTGAATATCAATCTACACATCTTCAAACACCTGATCTTTGACAAAGAAGCAAAAATTATCAAATGGAAAAAAGAAAGCATATTTAACAAATGGTGCTTGCATAACTGGGTATCAACATGTAGAAGAATGAAAATAGACCCATATCTATCAACATGCACAAAACTCAAGTCTAAATGGATCAAAGACCTGAACATAAAGCCAGTCACACTGAACCTCATAGAAGAGAAAGTGGGAAGTATACTTGAACACATTGGCACAGGGAATCACTTCGTAAATATAACCCCAGCAGCACAGACACTGAGAGAAACAATTAATAAATGGGACCTCCTGAAACCGAGAAGCTTCTGTAAAGCAAAGGACACAGTCAACAAGACAAAACAACAGCCTACAGAATGAGAAAAGATTTTCACCAACCCCACATCAGACAGAGGTCTGATCTCCAAAATATACAAAGAACTCAAGAAATTGAACACCAAAAGATCACATAATCTAATAAAAAAAATGGAGTACAGACCTAAACAGAGAACTCTCAACAGAGGAATCTAAAATGGCTGAAAGACACTTAAGAAAATGTTCAACATCCTTAGTCATCAGAGAAATGCAAATCAAAACAACTTTGAGATTCCACCTTACACCTGTAAGAATGGCCAAGATCAAAAACACTGATGACAACTTATGCTGGAGAGGTTGTGGGGAAAAGGGAACACTCCTGCATTGCTGGTGGGAATGCAAGATGGTACAACCCCTTTGGATGTCAGTGTGGCAATTTCTCAGTAAATAAGAAAACAATCTTCCTCAAGTTCCAGCAATACCACTTTTGGGTATATATCCAAAGGATGCTCAATCGTGCCATAAGAACATGTGCTCACCTATGTTCATAGCAGCTTTGTTTGTCATAACCAGAACCTGGAAACAACCTAAATGCCCCTTGACCAAAGAATGGATAAGAAAAATGTGGTACATTTACACAATGGAGTACTACACAGCAGAAAAAAATAACAACAGCTTGAATTTTGCAGGAAAATGGATGGAGCTAGAATACATTATTTTGAGTGAGTTAACTCAGACACAGAAAGACAATTATCACATGTACTCACTCATAGGTAGTTTCTAAACATAAAGCAAAAAAAAAAAAACACTAGCCCACAAACCACAATCCCAGAGAACTTAGACAACAATGAGGACACTAAGAGAGACTTACATAGATCTAATCTACATGGGAAGTAGAAAGTAGAAAAAGACAAGATCTCCTGAGCATGGGGACCTTGGGGGAGGTATGAAGGGGGGAGGGGAGAGGCAGGAAGGGAAGCAGAGAAAAATGTAGAGCTCAATAAATATCAATAAAAAATACAACAACAAAAAAAATAAGGTGGAGAACAATTGAGAAGGGCTTCCAGTATTGATTCCTGCCCCCTCCCACCACACACACACACACACACACACGGTGGATAAATTTGGGCACCGTTTTCCACGTTCAGTGCACTGGAAGGATGCAGCTATCATGACATCTTGAGAACTGTAGACATGGTAAGAAAATATTGTTTCTAATAAGAAATAAATATTATCAGTCGTCTTTAGAATTCATCCCTCAGATTTATAAAGACTCTGTTGATGATGGGCCCACGTTATCTCTCCAAAGGTCAACAAATGATTAACCCATTCTGGTAAGTACCTGCTCCCTGGGCATATCTTTAGAGGTGAAGGGTACTGGTGACTGAGTGTATTATCCATTACGATAGAGCCACATGAGGCTGGAGAGATAGTTCAACTAGTAAGAGCACTTTCGCTAGTCTAGCTGCTAGTCTAGAGTCTAGCAGAAGGCTTGGATTCCATTCCCAGCACCCGCAAGATGACTCACAACCATCTGGATCTTTAGTTCCAGGGGATCTGCTGCCCTTTTCTGACCTCCAAGGGCACCCGGTACACAGGGGTGTAATAATACATGCAGGTAAACACTCATACACATACAATACGGTACATAAGTATAAAACTCTTTTTTTTTAAAAAAAAAAATCAACCAACATGACACTAAATTCATAAGCAGCTTTTGGAGAGACATTTGATTTCCCAAATAGATTTTTCTCTATGGGAACAAATACCCTGGCCAAACATTTATAAGATTTATTTCCTAAGATGAAACCAAGAGTAACAAAGTAGACCATTAGGCAGTACACGTGAGCTGTCATTACACAGCCCAAGCCAAGGCAGATGGGTCTTATGGATGTCTCGTGGGAACCCAAAGGGACATAGTTGAAAATAGTGTCGGGTTCAGGTGACAGCCTGGTTCTACCGTGGGCAAAATTCGAGAAAGAAGGCATCACGTGTAAGCAGTTGCGGTAGCTGTGGCAGCAAATCCAATAATTTAGTTAACACTTACACACCTAGCATTGTGTGCTGGAATAGGTCCTAGAAGGCTACAAACACGAATGGATCAGAAATTAAGGTCCGGAGAAACAAACCACGTATGGAAAATCGTGACATTAACGTAAACTGGAGTTTAATTAGCCCCGGGGGAATCAGTGCACCAAGTCTATCAACAATGTTTTGGTAGATAAGAAGGTTGAACGAAAACAAAAGGCCCTCTGAAAACAAACGCGAGAGAAACTGGCACCACTTTACCCAGAACACCGACCTTGGAGTTGTCTGGATCCTGAGGGCAGGAAGATTATTTTCGCTGCATGTTTTATGCAGGTTGAATGCGGGCACGTTGCGTGAGTTTGCAGCTCTGCAAGTCATTTCACACTTTCCTGAATGTGTACCCAAAACCTCGGACTAGGTTTCAGGAAAATCAGTTATCAGGAGAAAAAAAAGGTGACCCCGCCTGTCGTTTGGAGAAGCTGAGCGCACCTGTGGCTTCCGATGCGCCGCAGCGCGTGGCCACCTGCGTGCAGGGACCACTACCTACCCCTAACTATGTGGTCTGGGGACAGAGGGCTTGTCCTGGAGCTATTTTATTTTATTTTATTTTATTATTTTTAGCAAGCTACACCCCTACCAGGTAACATTAACTCTTGGGAGGAGTGGACAGCCCTTACCGTACAGGAAATCATACGTTCTACTGGCGCTGCCCTTGTTCACCAACCGCTGGCACCGGTACGGAAACCCCTGAAGCTTGGTTCTGGGCTCCTGGATGGTCACTGTGCGGCTCATGGTGCTGCCTCTTTCGTCTGGCCAGCAGACCAGCTATGGGAGGTTTGGTAGCTGGTTACACCGTAGCTATAGCAACCTCAGACTCACACGCGGGGTAAGGGGCGGGGCGAGTTTCAGAGGCGGGACAGCAGGGCAGGGAGGGGTGGGGCCGGGGCGGGACCTAGATGGGCAATTTGAAGAGGCAGGACTGAGTGACAAAGCAGATTTGGGGGGATGCACGGTAGGCACACTTGGCAGGATGAAGAAGCAGGATGTGGAGCTCCCTGAGGAGTTGGGAACTGAAAGGAAGGAAGGAGGCAAGAGAAAGGAAACTCTGATGTGGACGGAGGTGGGGCTAGGAAGAAGAACTACGGGCAGACGGCCTCGCTCCCGCCCAACTAGGGTTTAGAGCACAAGCTGGGGAAAGGGCTATTCTAGAAAACCAAGAACCATTGGCTAGTAACAGCCCTTGCCACCAGTCTCTTTTGGAGATCCCTGGGAGGTTTCGTAACCTTCTAGAAGAATTGGGTACTTTTCTGAGAGCCTCTTTTCGCAGGATCAAGGAATCCAAGCTCCTAAATGCTGGGCCTTGGGGCAGTAACCAAGATAAGATCAGCTTCAGAGTGAACTAGAACATCAGTAGTTGGAAATCTGTCTCCAAGCTGCTGCTCTTCGCGTTAGAGCAGAGGTGGACAATTCTGCGCATGCATAGTAGGCTCTGCTAAGCAAAATAAATAAAAAAATAAAAATTAAAAAAATTTTAAAAAGGGTCAGTTTTTGAGAATACACAACCTTTTGCCCACGACACATTCTTCTTTTTAAAAGAAATTTCATTAATTTATCACTTTACTTTAAAAGTAACCAGCATCTCTAATTAATGACGTTGTTTGCTCATTCATTATTGGTGGTTGCAAACTAAATTTAGGGTCTCACGCACGCTACAAGCGCTCCCCTACTGAGATACACTCTAGCCCAAGCTATAGATTTTTAAAAAAATGCTACCATCGTAGCTAGCAATGTTAATACTAATTATTTTGTTCAAGCATCTAGCACATATTCACATTTACATGGTTGACTCAAAAATGTTATTTATTCTTGGTCCATCCCACTAGGGATGTTTTTAAGCCTCGTTTTGTTCTAGAGCACTGAGTTTCTACCATTTTGTAATTTAAAAAACTTTCTTAAACCAACTTGGTTCTCCTGAACTACGATGATAAAGATAAGATCAATGCTAGATTTTTTTTTTATGCAACAAAATCAGAGAAATGAGCAGGGCATGCTAGTGCGTGTCTTTAATCCCACCCGAGACAGCTGTATCTCTGTGAGTTTGGAACCATATGCTTTGTTGTTTTTAGTGCTGCTGCTATGGTTGCATGCATTTCCACATATCTGATATTCTAATTAGCTCGAACTTTACAGCTTCTAAAATAATATTTCACTTTAGAACATATTTTGGAAAGTTGTTGATTTTTTTCCCCCTGAATTTTGGTTCATGGACTCGCAACTATAGAAATCAGGGAATTTTCCCAGACCAGGAAATTAAGGTAATAATTCAACACTTCTCTCCATTTTTAGATCTATTCCACACAGTCTGTGTCTTACATTTATCTTCGAATAACTAACCAACCTGTGGTAAACTCCTAAGGTCACCCCTTGTTGTTCATGCTCTGGTCAGCATGTCCAGCCTTGTGACATTGCAACCTGGCATTGTCATTTCTCTCTATAAAGATCACACTCTAGTCACTAACAATTGAGGTTTTTTAAAAAGCACACACAAAAAAGATAGTCTTAACATTGGTTCCTCTGCAGGTAAAGGTGCTGGCTAGCAGGGACAATCCAGGCCCGGCAATCTGAGTCTGATCCCCAGAATTCATGTAAAGGTAGACAGAGAAGACCAACTCCCCAAAGTTGTCCTATGACCTCCACCTGCTGGCCACAGCAAGCACCACCCCCAAATCACACACACAATACTAATAAAAAACTTCTTAAGAATTCAATGGTTCAATCAAGTTCATATTGGGATGCCTTCATAACTGTCCTGGGCTGGGTGCCCATGGGTTTGAGTTTGGCAGGCCTCTGTCCTGGGTCATACCTACACCTCTAGTGTTAGGACCTGCTTTAACCAAAAGACTGTGTGATTGATCTTTTACAGAGACCTTTAGTGTTTATTTTGCTCTCTCTTTATAAGCGATTTTGAGGAAACAAGTGACCATGTTTGGAACCCTACATTGCAAAGAACTTGTAGATGGCTTCTAGGAGCTGACATGGCCTCCGACTGATAGCCAAAAAGAAGTGAAGCCCTCCCCGCTACAATAGCAAGAAACGGAATTTCTCTAATTACTGGGGTGAGGCTGGCCATAAACTCATCCCTGCCGGAAGATCAGCTAAAACAGTCACCTCTACCAGTCTTAAATTGCAATCTGGAAAAAGCCTCAAGCTACGCCCAGACTCCTGACCTAGAGAAACGGTGAGGGGACAAATGTGTGCTACTGTTAGGCTGTGCTAAAAGTGTTGCATGGATGTCTTGGTGCCATGGCTTGTTAAGCATGCGTGACTTAAACAACAGATGCTCATTTCTCACAAGAGATCTAGAACGTCTAACATAAGGAAGGTGCAAATCTATTTTGTTTCTGATAAGGGCTGAGGGGCTTCCTGGCCGGCATGTGGCTACCTTCTTGTTCTGTTCTATTCTCATATGACATAATTGACAGGGAGAGTAACCAGTCTCTTCTTTAAGGGTCCAAATCCCTTCGTAGAGACTGCATCCTGTGATGTCATTGATCTTAACTACCACAGTGGAGACTAGGGCTTCATTTGGGCGGGACACAAACATTATGTCCACAGTAAACAATAAATGACTGGACAGACGGCCCTCATGAAGCTGGGTCTCACCATTTGATGTAGTTGTATAAAATAAACTTCAGCACTGAGGAGGGGTTCTTGTTAATGAAATTCAGTTAAAGGGAAGATTTGATCATGTTTGAACTCTCCACAGGGGCTAGTTTCCATTGTGTCTTGCAAGGCAGGGGGCGTTGTCTGTCCTTGTCTCTTTGCGTGGGAAGCAATGTTGGCCGATAGAGACGGTGCTGCCCTTTAGGCAGAAGGCAGGGCAGACATTTTTATTTCTCTTTATTATGAATTCTCTTTCTACGAAGCAACTCAATACATGTGCGGCTATTTGGCCTTTGGGAAAAGGGGATTCTGGAGACTGGTGTAAAGATGCTCTAACGCTCTGTGCTGCTGCTTCCGTCAGTGATAAGTGTCATCTCTCAGTCGCCCGGTGGCTCCATGGCTTCTCCCACCACTTATGAACTGGCCTGCAAATGAAGTCGGAACTCAGCCTTCTCGAGATTTAGAAGCCAGAGGACGTTGTATAGTACGTATTTCTTTCTTTTTTTTTCTTTTTGTTTTTGTTTTGTTTTTCGAGACAGGGTTTCTCTGTGGTTTTGGAGCCTGTCCTGGAACTAGCTCTTGTAGACCAGGCTGGTCTCGAACTCAGAGATCCGCTTGCCTCTGCCTCCCGAGTGCTGGGATTAAAGGCGTGCGCCACCACCGCCCAGCGCTGTATAGTACAAATTTCCCCAGGGAAATTGAAAAGCTTTTTTTTTTTCTTCAGAGGCAGACATGCAAAAATTATGTAAACAGAGGCTAGCCATTAAATAGACTGATGAGAATTTAAGCCTTGTAATTCTTCTTTCTCAACACATGGTGTCGCTTTTTCGCTACTAGCAGCAGCTGCACATCTTGGGCGAAGTCATAAAATTTCGGCACGGTAGGTATGGAACAGAGCTACACACCTTTAACACTGAAGAACTTTAATAAGTAATTCATGCTGGGTGGTGGTGCACGCCTTTAATCCCAGCACTCGGGAGGCAGAGGCAGAGGCAGCCTGGTCTACAGAGAGAGTTCCAGGGCAGCCAGGGTTACACAGAGAAACACTGTCTCAAAAACCAAAAAAAAAAAAAAAAAAAAAAAAAAAACGAAAAAGGAGAAAGAAAAAAATCTTAGTTGTTGTCTGTCCTGCCAGTGACTCTGCCATTGCATTCGTAGAAGCCATTTGTTTGGGGCCATCCCACTCTACCCAACTCACCATTTCAAGCTTGTTGCCTATTAATTTAGTAATTTTAGTAATAACAATGTAAGAGCTAAAAAGGATAAAATTTGCTAGCTTCAACTTAATAATCTAATTATAGGTCTTCTTGGGGGAAATAGGTTATTGGTGTTTTACGTGGGATTATATAGGAAACAATAATTGGGTATGTTTTATATTCTTAATTTAATATAAAATAACCCATCGTAGTCTGCAAGCATCTAGGCTGAGAAAGAAAAGTAAAGCTTAATGCTTACTTACTCATCAAAAGCAAAAGGAAAAGTAACCCACATATGTAAGCTGGTTATAGCATCCTAAAGCAAGAGATTAGTAAATATTTCCCTTTTGAAAGGAGATCTTTCCTTTTTTAGACATGATCAAGCTTTGAGACCTAGGCTGGACTTGAACCCAGTATAGAACCCAGGCTGGCCTTAAACTCTGCATCCTCCTGTGTCTGCCTTCGGAGGGCTGAACTTATAAGTTTGTTCCATCGTTTCCAGTGTGCTCTTTATTTTGTTCATGAGCAGAAGACCATTCCACCTCAAAGAAGCAGCTGATATAGGTCATGGTGCTCAAGAGGCAGCCAAGGGTTTATTCCAGCCTCAGATAGATCCATCTAAAGAAAGCAAAGGCAAGAGATGGCTTTGTGGGGCCTGCGTCTGCTAAGGAGGCCACACAGGGAACCAGTCCATATCAATTCCACTTAAAAAAAAAATTTCAATACAAAAATACAACTCAAGCATCAAAGGGGACAAGGGATAGTTTATTCTGGAGACAAATATGAATGGCCATGGTCTGGGAAGTTTCACATTCTCCCAAATTCCACATTCTATTATGGGAATAGTCTCACACAGCTTTACAGTGAAGGAACAAAGAAAATCATACACTTCCCAGATATAGTGGCAAAAACAATAGATAGGTCACAAGAAAGCGAGAAAATCTC